ATTAGTACGACGACACAACTCCAAATGGACACGCATGCTTTATGATCTGGAATTGCGAGACTGTCTCGTCTACAGAATTGTCCTACTGGGCAATTCCGGCTCAATGGGAACTTGCAGATTGAAGGCGATGTCCTGCCTGGCGTAACCTTCCACGTCTTCCACGTCTCCACTGCGATGTCAAGCAGGGGCTTCATCTCACCTCTCTCGAGTACGGATTGGTTTCGACACGATCTGGGGTAACTCGACACTTCCCTATGTCGTGGCACCGATGATGGCTGTCCACAGACGGCATTTCTGGTGCCGGTCCGATGGTCCTTCAGGGAGACAGGAACCTGGAATACAGAGGTCTGATAATTCAGAGTGATAGCGACAGTGGGCAAGGCAGTACTTACTACATACTCGTCTACTAGGCCCGCACCTAGTTCCAACAGGGGTGCTTGCACACCGAAGATGGCATTCGCTCTGCCTCCGTCAGGTCGACCAACGTTCCGTATAACGCTGTATTGAGGCTCAGCAATCACGCGGGGGGTGTCAACCTGTCGGAAACAGTCACTCATATTATCATTTGTCGTACCTCCTGTATCAACCATCACCTTCCAGGTCCCTCCTTCAACTGCAACACTTGCAGTGCAAATCTCTAATCCCAGGGACCTCTTCTCGATGTTCACGGGAGCCATCATCCTTCGGGTCGTCCACTGATCCTTACTGAGAACACAGAGAGCACATAGGAGAACAAAACAAAATACTGCTAAGAAACATGGGGTCAATTGAGAGATAAGCTTCCCGAGCCAGTCATGTCCATAGCCGGCCACATCCACACGCCTGGCTTGGACCGAAGAGGGCACTAGACCTTTTGAACACACCGCACCTACCTTTGACGTCTGGGGAATCTCTGGCTGGTTCACTAAATGCTGTAACTTGCCATACCGCAAGCACACATCCGCCTTCGCTCCAGACTCGTTGGTATCCGTGGGTGCCCGCACACAAGGCCTCTCTTCTTGCTCAGGTACCTCTGCCTTCTTAACTTCATGTTCCTCGTCGAGAGAATCAGGAGACACTGCTAGAATATCGTCGATCTGCGGGTGAGAGGACAAATTAAATATGTTTACATCCGGGTCTGTCTTTACCTGGACATTACCATTGCCTGTTACCTCAGACCGTGCTGTTCTGGTAGACTCGTCCGCAACCTTGGGACGATTGGTGCTCCAATCGGTCACCAAGTCGTTGGCTAGTACCACGTCAATCCCAGCCACAGGGAGGGTATCGACTACTGCCAACGCACATGTGCCGCTGAAATAAGGAGAGTCGAGATGTACTGGCACTAAGGGGGCGAAATACTGCGTTCTCGGAAACCCAACCAGGATAACCTCTGGTCTCCCATCCACACTTACTCCCTCGGGTAACGAGCTCTTCACGATCAGGGACTGGGCTGCTCCACTATCTCTGAGCACTACAATTGATCTACCAGTATGATCACTCGTTACATACCCGGTTGAAGTGTGAGAGGCCAACAAACTTGGTCCTTCCTGCGTCGTCGTAGACTGGTTTCCTACTGGTGATGTAACACAGCTCATCAACATCACCTCCCTTCGTGCGCTGCCACCTCTTCTACCTCGGCACCTAGCAGCTATGTGCCCTTTCTGCCCACAAGTCCAGCACACCATATTCCTCCTTGGACTACGGTGTTTCGGACTACTGGGACTTGTTCTTCGGGGGCTACTTGGGGGCGTCTTCTTAGCACTTTGTGGGACGGGTCTTTCTTCTTCGTCGTGAGGTCTGTCAAACCGGCGCTGGTAATTCCTCGGGACGTACTTAGCAGACGGCCTATGAGTCAGGATGTACTCTTCAGCCATGGTGGCTGCTGCACTCAAGGTCTCTACCTGCTGTTCCTCTAAGTACGTCTTCAGGTCTACAGACAAACAATCCTTGAAGTCCTCGAGCAGAATCAGCTGTTCGAGGTCTTCCCTGGTCTCCACCTTCCGAGAGGCACACCATTCTTGAAAAAGTCGCTCCTTGATGGTGGCGAATTCGGTGAAAGTGTGCTCTGAGGTCTTCAGGTTTCTGAACTTTTGCCTATATGCCTCAGGTACCAATTGGTACGCCATGAGCACCACTTTCTTCACCTTGTCATAATCGCTGGAGTCGTCAAGGGATAACGTAGAGTAGGCGATTTGGGCCTTCCCAGTCAAGACTGACTGTATCATGATGGCCCAATTCTCCCTTGGCCACTCCAAAGAGGCAGCGACTTTCTCGAAGGCTGCAAAGAACTTTGACACTTCCTTCTCATGGAATTTGGGGACCATTTTGATGTTGCGTACCGGATCGAAGCTATTGGTGTCCGTTGTTTGCCTCCGACCACCGCCTAATCGCAGAACTTCTAGTTCATGTTGTCTCTCTCTTTCCTCCCTTTCTCGCTCTCGTTCTTCTCTCTCTCGTTCTCGTTCTTCTCTCTCTCGTCTCTCTTCTCTTTCTCGTTCTTCTCTCTCTCGTTTCTCTTCTCTTTCTCGTTCTTCTCTCTCTCGTTCTCGTTCTTCTCTCTCTCGTTTCTCTTCTCTTTCTCGTTCTTCTCTCTCTCGTTCTCGTTCTTCTTTCTCTCGTCTCTCTTCTCTTTCTCGTTCTTCTCTTTCTCTTTCTCGTTCTTCTCTTTCTCTTTCTCGTTTCTCTTCTCTCTCTCTCTCTGCTTTCCTTTCTTCTAATTCTAAACGTCTCATCTCTAATTCTTTATCTTGTCTCTCTCGTTCCATTTCTAATTTCTTCCATTCTATTTCACGATTGATCTCTAGGGCACGCATCTTGACTGTTAGGAAGCTGATATTAAGCTCGCCTGCATCACTGTCAACGTCGCTGCCCTTATCTTCCTTTTCCGTGGAAGCTATGTCTGCACTTTCCTTTGTACTAGGAGTCTCGCCTTCCTGTTTCTCTTCTGCCTTCAGGTGCCGGTGTACCTTGGACAAGATCTCCACACGGGAATCACTGGCACGGATCTTTATCTCCAGGTAGGCGCTCACTAGTACAAGCTCTGGTTTACTCAGATATTTTAATCTGGCAAGACAATCTTCTCTGTTCAGAAAAGCCTGAACCTCGTCCAGATCATCGATGGTGGCTTTGTCTGCCATTGTCACAGATGGAACACTTAGCACTTAACACACTGAGCACTGTTCTACGCCAATATTGTACTTTATCGCACCAAACACTGCACTTGCCAATATTGCACGTAATCACTCCGGGCACCGCACTACCCAATATTGCACTGAGTCCAAGTGAACACTTCGCTCTACAATATTGCACTAAATCACTGAGCACCGCACTAGTCAATATTGCACTTAATCGCTTAATCACAGCGAGCACCGCACTGCACAATACCGCACTTAGTCACTCTGAGCACCGCACAGGACGTATAACGTCACAATCGTCACACAGGGGGAATTATATACAGGGATTACGCCACTTCACCACCCCTGTCAAACATACTTAACAAGGGGACGGATCCCGCTGGGGATGCCAATTATGTTACGGCCCTCTCGGGACGCAACGGGGTTCTCACTCTGATGTTGTTAGAGGAAGATATATGTATCCGTTCCCAAGCCAGTAGTGGCTATCAAGGGATGAGATCCGTGACGCAAGTAACTTAAAGGGAGTATGGAAAGAAAGTTAAGAACTTAATATAATATATTGACCACCACCAATAAATATATAAAAATCAAACGTGCACAAGGGGAGGGGTATTAATGCTATGCAAGGGGATTATTCACTGTAGTCTTCTGCTGAAGACTCTGGTGCCACACCACTTTCGGTGCCGAGTCCTTGGTGCTTTCTTCGTGGCCTTAAGACGTGTCTTCTGGAACGCCGAGCCTACCCTGGCCACAGGTCAGCCAAAACACTGGTCCACTGGGGGCATCGTCGTGGAGGCCGTCAACCACACGTCCAGCAGGTCGGCTGGCAGGTACTGAGCCACCAAGGCTGGTACGGCCACTCCACGAACGATAAAAGGGGTACGCCCTAGACAGGAGTCTCGTGTGATATCACCAATCACCCTCCTGTCCTCAATACCCCAGTGGATTATCGTCTCCAACCGTCGGTCCCGGGTAAATCCTTTCACTGCCACTCCAAAGGCAGGCTAACACACCACAGTGTTCTTCCGGGGGGGACGACGTCACAACAGCTGCAGCAAACTTCACAGTATGGAGACTGGCTGCCTCGGGTAGACTGACTCCACCTTCAACACAGTGGTCCCAGGTCGGCTCTGTAAGCAGACACGTCATCAATAACAGGGACACTAAAACACCACACTTACAGCCTCAGACACTAACACCTGACGTATCCAGTCCATAGATGGCGCTGTCGTCAGAGCACCACCTCACCAGAGGTCAGGAGCGGCGGTGTTGAGCGCTGAACCAGACTGGAAACTGGTCCTCGAGGCCAGTACACGCTGTCCTCACTAGGTGTCGTCGTTCGTTTGGCGGGGGTTTCGGGAGCTGACCCACAGATGGCGTGTTTGTCACTGCTCCAGGCTCGGACGCTGGATCCGGATTCGTAACAGATGTACATGTTTCCATTCCAATTTATACTACAAACTCTACAAGATTTCCAAAATTCACCAAAACCATTTCCAGCTCCATCTCCAGATGGAGCTTGCCATTAATAACATTTTTGGATCCTAATGCATTAAGGCCTTTAGAGGAAATACAAAATTCATTTGAGTGACTACAATCAGCATTTTTGTAATGGCAGGTTGGAGGAAGCATACCCCATACCTAAAAAGTCTTAGCAACTCAGTGGATCTCAAATTGCTGAAAGTGATGTACAATACGGTAGTTGACTGTGTGGTACCAATATAAATATTATAAATTAGGTACTAATTATATGTTAATATTCAATTGGGAAAATTTCTCCCATCTAATGTCACCTATTGGATGTTGCAAGACACTGATGTCAGCAAAATCAAATATTGTACTGTATTAAACTTTAGGATACTTATTGGATGTTAATAAAACAATAAGAACAATAATACTTTAATGTTCTTTGTTTATTTTTCAAAATATGAGTGAACAGTGGAATGCTTGGCTTTCCATTTAAAATCTCATTTCACAGAAAAGATAAATAAATGACTTGTCAGACATCTGCACCAAAAATATATTATCTCAAACCTAGTCAGACATTTATAAAATATAAAATAATATGATTTCTAATCAAATATATACAACAAATAATTACATTAGATACAACCTCCAATACAATACTTGTACTGAAAATCTCAAATTGAGATACAAAACACAATGTAGAAATGCACATTTCAGATTTCTGTAGAATACAACTTCAATTATTGTACTGTACATGTATTTTTAAATAATTCCATCAAGTACTGTACAGTATAAACTATAATAAAAGAAAATAATAATTTTCACTATCATGTGTCTTTTGGTATTCATATCACCGGTCAGTTCTATTTTTCCTTCCATGGGGAACATTTCTAGCAGCAATACGTGCCGATCCTGTATGTAATGATCTGAAAAATAAACCAAGTAATGGATAAAGTCATACAAAAAAAAGAAGGCTTTGAGTTAGTATGTAAAGCACCTGTTTTAAGTAGAATCATTTGGTTGATCCTTAAGTTTAGGTCATGTGTTCTTGGATAGGATCCTGCTACAGTCAGGAAAGACAACATATCAGCAATGACACCAGTACTTTTCAAACAGTTCCTGCTGGATCACTACTGATGATACGGAATCACTGGAGCACCCTCTATCCAGCCCACCAAAATGAGTGAGTTTTATGAAAACTCACAAACTCTTTTGAAACCCTCTCTTAGTGTCATAGGTAACCACTAAATGAGGGCTCTCATTAATTACTGATCACCACCACCACCTGGCAACAGTACCATGCCTACTTTTAAGTAAGGTACATAAACCAAGTGATACTTGGAGGAAGACACTTCCAGTCTGGGCCTCACTTTAAAGAGAGAGGAACTGACTATGGCCAATGAATATGTAACAAACAGTTGCAAAGAAGCTGACCCCTGTCTCTCAGAAGCAATAAAGGGTTTTTTCACCAACCGAAGAGAAGCTGAAAAACCTATAAAAACTTGAAAACCCAATGCAAAACCTCCAAGATACAATAGAGGTACTGCACTCCAGCCTCCATCTGCCTAACTACGTGGGCTGGATGGTAGAGCGATGGTCTCTCTTCATGCAGGTTGGTGTTCCATCCCTGACCGTCCAAGTGGTTGGGCACTATTCCTTTCCCCCCTGTCCCATCCCAAGTCCTTATCCTGATACCTTCCAAGTGCTATATACGCATAATGGCTTGGTACTTTCTCCTGATAAGTTCCCTTTCCTTCTCAGCCTCCATCAGTATACCTGCCAGTGCCTGCAAAAGATAGGACTGAAATCCTATAAGACCCACAGCTAATGGATGAAGACAGGAATTCAAGCACTTAATACACATCACAGAAACTGAAGCATCAGGAACAGACCCTTGAATACAGCTCTTTCTGTCTTAATATTCACACTGAGGCACTTGTATTGCCTGAAGTTTTCAATGAGCTGATCATTGAGTTTAAAAACAGATGGTTATTGTTTTTTTGGGGCATTTTTTCCATTTTCTGTGGAAATGATAAGCCTATATTCAATACATCTACTTGTATTTGCCAGCATATCAAGGTGAGTATGCAGCCAGTTACCACTATTTGCAATGACAAATGTTATCACTTTATCAGATGACAGCTTCATCAACTAGTGTAGGTATGTCAGCTATTAGTCTATTCATCAGCACATTGAAAAGCGTAGGGCTGAGTACTCTTCTCTGAGGTGTGCCCAAATCAAAGGAGACATTATAGCCACTCTTAACCCTCTTATAAATGACCGAGACATTTTTATTATTTCAAAAGCCCTTAATCCATTGTAATAAATCTTTCCTGACTCCAAAAAAAGGCTACCTGTTCCAGGATGAGTTTCCTATAAGCTATGTCAAAAGAAGCTTGAAGATCAAGAAAGGCAATGTGAATCTTTTGTTCCTGCCTGGTAAAGGACTCAGCAAAGCAAGTTTGTTTACTTCCCCCAGGTGAAACAAATGTAAAAAAGTGAAACCGAATAACTACAAACCTAACCTAACCTTATGAGACCTCGATCAAATTTATTGGATGATGATAATAAATGTCCACTTACCTTAGTAAAGGAGGTATTTGCTTCTGATTAGAAAGAACAGATTCAATAATACCCTCCAGCAGCACATATACAAGTCTCTTGTTAAGGGAGGTCCACTGCACCGTATCGTACACACCAAGTACACCCCGAGCTGTTGTTTGGCTACCTAATATTGCCTTTAATTCATCTAGGGGAAATAGAAGATGAGAGAATAGTAAATGTTTTAGGTAATAAATAAACAAAAAATTTTAAGAATTTGTTTTTCAGTTAGTTCGATTGATCTACACTTGTTGTCCTGTTACTCTGATACCAGAAAATTGCTTTGGGATGATTTTGCATGGGGTGTATGCAAATATGGGCTATCAGGAAGAGCTAATGGAACATGTAAATATAAACCCTCAAGAAACTGCAGAAATATCCTAAATAGAGGTACATGATGCCCTGAAAGCTGCAAATTTTTCCACCCAAAGCTGTGTAAAAAATCACTAAACAAGAAGGAATGTTTTAACAGAGATTGCCCAGCATTTCAAATCAAAGGAACAATGGGAATAAAATCCAAAGAATGCCATTATGAATACTGGAACACCCATACATACCAGGGAGATTTTTTGTAAGAGGAAGAGAAAAAATGGGGGTGAAATGTCCAAACGCTATCATCAACTCGGTCAAATGCTATAGAAGACAACGGGCACCTTACCAAGGCCACTGATATTAACACCAAGTACAATACCCAGCACTTTCATAAATATGATATCTTCTTTATTTGACAACATACAAAGCATCAAAACACAAAACAAAGTCCACTTTATAACTGGTCTCTCAAATGAGGCAAATGCAATGTTTGCAGCTTTGACTGAAACACACAAAGAACTATGATGACAATGAGATATTGATACCAGAATTCAATCTTTTCAGATGTGACAGGAAACAGGCTATAAGGTGGGGACAGCTTGTGCATCAAAGACCTTTATCTGCACAGAGCTGCTTAACATTACAAATGATATGGCAGAAGTGCTGATACTCAAAACAGAAATTCTAAATGTCATGATTGTCCTTGTACATAAATCACCAGATGCAAAGCCTTCAGCAGGATTTGCAAATAAATCCTCCTCCAGCAAATAACATGATGTTTAATGTGGATAAGTTTCAATTACTGCACTATAGAAAATATAAAATATAAAAACAGAAACCACATATAAAACTTTTAAAGAAAAACAAAGTTGCTGTCACAACTGCAAGAAAAATGACAGGTTAGATAACAAGAATATTCCAAACAAGATATGCCACACCAATGATGATACTTTTTAAGACATTAGTGCTTTCTAGAGTATCCTTGCATACAAACAGCCCCATTCAGAATCAGAGAAATTGCTGACCTGGAGAGCATGCAAAGATCTTTTACTGCTAGAATACACTCCATAAAACATCAAAATTATTGAGACCACTTAAAAATTTTAAATCTGTATTCTCTAGAATGCAGGGAGAGAATAATTTTAACTTGAAAAATATTAAAAGGACTAGTTCCAAATCTGCACATGAAAATAACAGCACAAGAGACCAGAAGACATGCCAGGATGTGCAAAACAGCCCCGTTGAAAAGCAGAGTTGCAATAGGTACACGGAAAGTGCACTCGATCAACATCAAAGGCCCAAGACTTTTCAACACTCTCCCCCCTACACATATTCCCTGACCATCCAAGTGGTTGGGCACCATTCTTATCCTCTTTCCATCCCAAATCCTTATCCTGACCCCCTTCCAAGTGCTATATAGTCGTAATGGATTGGTGCTTTTCCCTGATAATTCCTTCCCTTCCTCTACACATACAAGGCATAACTGGCCGACCTCTCACAGTGTTCAAAAGAGAACTCAACAAATACCTTTGAAGGATATCTGATCAACCAGGCTGTGACTCGTATGTCAGGCTGTGAGGAGCCACATCGACCAACCTTGTTGATCAAACCAGCAACCAGTTGATCATGGGGAAGTTGATCCTCGGAACCATCAATAAATAGTCAACAGGTAACAGGTAAGATACAGCAATCACCACTTAAATAATTAATTACTGTACAGTGTACTTAAATTTTAAAAATATTATACATATATCTGTACATTTAGATAAATGAATTAAGATTCTCTTTAACAGCATATATAAAGCTTGATCTGTTTGTTTGAGATCTACCTGAATACATTGCTACTGTCTTTTGGTTAGAGATATCCATTGAAAGAGTAATGTTCAAGTAAGATTTCCCTCTCTCTCTCAACACTACACTAATCTGAGTGTCTTAACACTAAATTGCTTTACAGTATAATTTTCATTAGTAAAAGTTGCACATTTCACCAAGTTAGCATGGCTATTTATATAATTAAAAATGTTCAAAACCTTACCTGAAATACTAGCTAACATACAAGTTCTGGCAGCAACTCTGGTTCTCATTTTGATACTATTATCTCTTTCAAGTGACGGAGCAGCTAAAGTACCATTTGGCCAAAATGATTCCCTGTAAGACAAAAAGTGACCAGATATCAATAATTTTAATAATTTAATTCACGGTGTACCTATGAATACTGTTACTTTTACTGTATCTGTTAGGTTAAGGACCTGACTGAAATGCTATGCATGTTAGTGGCTTTGCAAAAATGTAAGAATACCAATGTTATGTACTCTCACAACCCATTGTATCTTTTTGTACTGTATATCAATAAACAAATAAAATATAAATAAATACATAAAAGAATAGTAGCTTTGTAACCTGCATGTAACCAATGTTGTAACCCTTTTTGTGTAATAAAATTTTAAAATAAAGTTAGATATATATACACACACACTAAAAGAATAAATATATAGAAAAAATACACAAAGCACAAGAGAGTTGCTAGTCACTGTATGCATGAACGTGCACACACACGCAACTTCAAGAACAAAAGTTCATATATTCAAGCTAAGGATACAAAGGTGCCAAATAATTTAAGAAAAATTCTCTTTTCCAAAGAAAACTGTAGAAGGTTGGACCAAGTTAATTAAAAAGGCAGATGATGCCAATACAATCGGTAACTTCAAAATGCCATATGACAAAAGAATTCTGGAAAAATGGGACACCACAAGCATAGCTCTCATCCTGTAAATATATTTTGGTAAGTACACACACAAACACACTGGCAGGAAGAGCCATAGAACTTACCTAATGATATAGGTGTAGGTATTTTTAATTATGTTGGTGGCATCACATTGAACAGGCATTGTTAAAAAATGCATAAAATTATCAGTAAAATACAGTATTTAGTGTAATAAAATGTTTCTTTTCTTTTGGAGGGAGAGACATTCCTCAGCAGCTTCCCTCAGCTTATGACCAAGATGCTGTAGGCCATATTCACAAGCCAGGCTCCTGTGACAATCTCTGCCTACCAGTGGCAAGAACCATTGGAACAATTTTGTCTTGCCTCCTCAAAGAGGCAATCAGCATGTTTTAAAGATTTTACTCAAATACTCAAGCAAAACAACCAATAACAAAGAGTGCCACAAAACCTAACACTCCCATTAAATGTTTAGAAATTAAGAATTTATCAAACGCTCTTGGAAAATATCAATGCATTAAATAACAAACCACTCCACACTAGTCATCCGAAAAGATGGGGAAAAAAAAAGGATTGGATTAGGAAGCTAATGATGATAACCTAGAACATCCAAGAACACATTTGATTCTCTAGAAATGAGAACTGCACTGAGGATTAATCCCCAAGAATCCAAAGCAAGGCTATCCTCAGTTACCACTCTCACAAGGAAAACAACTGTAAGGAGCCACCCATGTTCAAGCAATGACCCACCAAGAGGCAATCAAGTAAAGACAACTGGCCAGACCCTGTTAGAGACGAATGCACTTTAGCATTATCCAGAGAAACCCCAGCAGATATCCAACACAATTGTAGATAACGTGAGAACCAGAGAGAGGGAACGCCAAGGAAGTGAGCTTTTCAAAAAATCTGAGACGGAGATTGGTAATGCAGGATCCATCTCAGGTGTTATGGGGACATCTCTGTACTCACCTAATTGTGAGTACAGAGATGTCCCCATAACATGTGTGTCCCCATGTCCTCTGTGTGGCTTTGGAGATGCCTGAAGGCTGACCAGCATAGAATGCAGCAAGTATGCTTCACCCTAACATAGTCCTAGAGAAATAACACACAGACAAAGTTCAGACAATGTAATAGGTGCTCAAGCTCCAGACAGGAAACATGCAGTCTGCCAAACACCAGACACAGATGCATGCACAAAATTATCAGAGTCAATTTTGGAAAAAAAGGGAAGTTGCTCGGGTGTTTCAGACCAACCCTAAGGGGTATTTCTAGCAAAATATATAACACAAATGCTTAAGTTATGGAAATGTGTAATTGTAGGAGAGATGGGATACTAATTAGGACTAAAAAATATACTAAGCTAAAATTTACTATCTTTACTAGTTTAAAATTACCTGAAAGTTTTAATATAATCTGCCACTTGTTCTGGAGAAGTAATAAAAGCAACATAATCCACAATTCTTCTGTTTACAATGTCACCGAACATTGCTTTTAAAATTTGCCGCAAGAAGAGCATTATACGCCTTCTAAACCATTGATCTTTGCTTCTCAGATCAAATACTTCATCCATCAGTAGCAATAGGATGCGTAATGGAATGTTTTCATCACCCTAGAAAGATAATCACTTTTTAAAAACTGAAAACCACACAACTCTCACCACAATAACTTTTATTCAGGCAGTATATTTTTGCCTTAGGGAGCAAGCCATTGGCACAACTTAGAAAAAGCCATATACCCCATGCTACAATTGTAAATAAACATGTTTCATACAGAAACACAATAAAATCATTCTGAAAAGCTTATTTCATGATCGTATCTGAAAAACTGGTGCTCTAAGGTTTAAAATGTGAAACAAAATATTATGTTATTTCTTATATAATCATATTCCTAATTACAGTACATACTTCTTGTTAAATCGTTGTCTTATGTCCATAATTTTCCTAAGATCAAGGTGTAACTATTATACAGCACAGTACATGTGTAATTTGTATCAAATCAATACAGTAATGAAAAAATATAGATTCTTCTATATTAAAATTCAGAAAATACAGTACTGTATTTTTCTTCTAATGGTTTGGTTGTGATCTCATAAAAATGATGATATATAATTCCCAATTCATGTGCCTCATTTAAAATCTGGCAAGAGAAACTAACTATACTAGAATGTCTCTTTTTTCCTCATAGAAGACACAGTACATAAATACCAGCAATACTGTAACAAAATCTCTAGCATACATTTATAAAACCATTAATATGAGATAACAAACATCTTCAGGTATGAAAATACATTTTCAACATACCTCAAGATCTAATGACCCTCTATGTGCATAATCAGCACTGGCCGTGAGTCTAGGATGTGTTGGCTTCACAAAACGTCTGTAAATACCATCAACCATACCATCTACAGTGTTGAGAACAGTGTCCGGCATTGACCGTACAGCTTTGCTCATGCTGTGGACTCCCAGCTTCAGTGGAGCTACTAAATTGTCTTCAACCTGAAGATATAAGAAAAATATTATATATTATGTGCATGTCCAGAGTCAATGCTTCAAAGATAAATACCAGATTTAAGGTGCGATAAATGCCAAGATATCTATTTTACCTGTAAAAATTGGCAGCAATCTAATAGCAAGCCTGTGAAACTGTTCTACTTGCTACGGTTGTCATGAAGCCTTGGAGCCAAGCCCCTTAACTCCACATGTGAAGATCAGCAGAATCTTGAAGAGGTCACATAGCTCCTGCCACTGATCCATTCGGAAAGATGAAGGGCAGGGAATGGGGTTTGTTTGGGGCAATGAATGACAAGATCAGAAAACAAAGGCTGTATACACCACATGAGTCAGACAAAAGATGTGGCTCATAAGGTTTTCATTCTGGATTGTAGTGAGCTGATGCACTCAGTAGTGGCTTGATTAGATTCTCCATTGTTTCCCTTTTCGTTCATATATAACAGGACCAATTGCAAAGACCCATGGATATAAAAGTAATAATAGCCTGATGATGATACAGGTTCTGCATAAATCATAAAGGTCTTGGCAGTGGGAGAGTTTGAACAAGATATTAACTTTGTTTGGGAACTCTCAGAAAATGATGCATAAGGTGTATGACGAGTTATACAATAGTACAGTACAGTATATACCTTTTTGGCAAGATTTTGAGGTTGTGAAGACAGATAAGAGGTTTGATCAAGAAAACGCTGGATTGCTTCTTGTAACCCAGGATGAGATTGAAGGTTAGCTGGTGCCATGACCGTCTGCAGCCAGTCATCTAATTCAGATTTGCGCTTTTCTAAGAACCAGGCAGCAAGATTATTCAACATTCTTTTACTAGGAAATGATACTGATGACAAGTCCATGAACTGAAAATATAAAGAGCATATTATAAGGATGGATGCACAAATGAACTATCATTATGTGCAAAATAAGATATAAACAATTTGCATTACATATCATATTTTCTAATTTCTAAAACACCAATAAACTATACTTTACTTACTCATGGAAGTAATAATAAAAGCAATTATTGAGAATGCCTCATCTTCCACATATGGATGTGACCACAACTGAGCATTAGTATTGTGTACAAGATCAATGTTAATTTTGTTTACAAAAAGTTGGGCGCAGATTTTGGATGAAGATTGTTTTAGTAGTCCACTTACATGAGAAGAAGTTCCCTTACTAATTACTAATTCTTTTCTGAACCATATCCTTAATGCCATTAAATTTTATTTGCGTACTTTGATAATACTGTACATTATTTACCTTTCAATCAACTTTCCATATACAGTACAGTACTACTAATTTATATTTTCTCTGCCATTTATTTTCCTAACTATAATTATGGCTGAAAATTTACAAGTTTTGTAGAGACAATAAAAATCAAGTGTTGAATGTAATGAAATGTTCCTTTCTAGTAAGACCTGCAATACTTTTCTGAGCTAAGTTCCAGCCATGCCTTTAATCAGCATTTTTTTTTGTGGTTGTGCCTAAACTTTCTGGTGCATTTTCCTCAGTTGTGAGTTGATTTCTGAACCCCAAGCTTCTCTTACCGTGCAGAGTGAGCCAAATTCTGGTCCTAGCTTGCAGGGCGGCAAAGATGCATCTGATAAGCATGGTGTGATTAACCAAGCTTGGCAGTATCGGCATTTAAGTTTGCAGAGCTAATGAGTGGTCTCTTCCAGAAAAACTGGATTTAAAGAACATTTACTGTCAACGAACCGTTTAAAATTAGTGTACATTAAACAGGAAAATAATATTGTTCAGACTTACTTTTGCAGTAATTGACAGATGAAAGTCGTAAAACTCAGAATATCGTCTAAATACATGCCATAAATCTTCCTGCCCTGATGCATCTCTACGCATTACACTAACAATGTAGATGGCATGCGATTTACTTCCTTCTCGAACAATCTCTAGAACAGAACAACATAAGAGATCATTAAACTAAAATGGGAAGAAAGCATTTAGCAAAGTTTAATCTAAATATCTCCTTGAGCGTACAGCTACTGACTAGTGGCTATTTTAACACTTGCATTCTGGGGTTGACCAGTGCAGTATCAAGTGCTACACATCAAAGTTTATAATAATTGTTTATTTGTTCAGATTTTTGTTGTTGTAGTCTTTTTTTATACTGAATATGTAAATATTTATAAATAATATTTCTTCCTAATACTCCTGATAACCTCTTAATGTGAAACTTGCAGTTTCTTCCCATTTCACTAGATGAATATGTTATAATGCAAGAAGGACCTAGTAGTGCTGACAATGATTAGAGATGAATCACCAAACTAGGATGGGAACTTAATGGTAGAAAATGCCAGAAAACTACTGTATCTTTACAGCAAAATATTATCTCCCCAATAATGCCCTCTCCTAATTTGTGTTCCAACTCTGTAGATAAATTTTGTTATAGTTTTACCTCATATATTAAAAACGATTAGCTTTACCCCTCAAAGAATTTGATCAAGAAACATCATTACAATTGTGTTTAAATTACAGTAGTTCAATTAAAAATGATTGTTATTGATTTACCCCCTTAAGTACTTAATGTACAGCCTTCGTTTACTAACAAAATTACATACTTTATATCTTTAAGCATAATTATCTATTAATATAATTTGATATTCAAAGTTCACAAACACATTGATTATTTATATAATTTTGCACAAATTTTATACTTTAAAAACTAAGTTTTACCTAAATACGTACATTGAAATTAGAATAATGAATTAGATTTCCAGGACAAGATGGGGCAAATAGTTTATCTGGCACTGCAAGCAAAAGATTACTGCCACTGCATATTATGTAACATTAATCTGAGTTTCAGGTTAGATTCACATAAATTTTGGTGCAACACACAAACATTAGGAATTCAATTAAAAAGGACAAGGCTGTTTGCACCATTTGAACCACAAGGCATATTCCTAGATGATGGAACACTCTGTACTAAGGTTTCTAACCTTTAGGCAAATGAGAAACTTCACAAGCTGCACGTAACTCTCCTCCAGGTTATCAGAGCATGCACAAGCCCATTGCGGAAAATTAGCGTTCAAAGGAGTCCCAGTATTTCATTCATGGGACTTTTTTTATTTCATTATTTACTTAGCACTATACTACACATGATAAATACCATTAATTATCAGTATCAACATATTAATTCACTATGAAGATTCACCAGGCTATAATAATCATCACCTGTATCGATAATCTTAGCAGTTAGGGTGTAGGATTTTGAAGTAAGACTGGGAGATCGAGTGTGACATGGGGATGGATGAAGTGATCCACCTGGTTGTGGTGATTGAGCCCGAGATGACCCTCTGGAAACACTCTGAAATACATACAAAAATACATTACAATATACTGTAAACAAAAAATAAACGTTGATAAACAAATTTAACTAAAAAGCTTATCAAGTAAAAAATGTTTTCCAATGAAAACTTAACATTAGAATTCTTGTGTCTTGAGTAGCATAGTTTTTATATATATATAATACACGAGTTCTTACATTCTTGTACAGCCACTAGCACGCACAGCATTTTGGGTAAGTCCTTAATCCAAATATTCCTTGGAAAACGACCCTGCCAAATCGTTTAATAAAACCAGGTACCCATTCTACTGTTGAGTAAACAGAGGCGACAGTTAAGGATTGACGTACAGTAAATCCTTCCTGGCCAGGATACGAACCCAGGCCAAAGTGCTCTCGAAACGCCAGACCACTACGTCTTACCACTATGCCATGGGGACTGCAAAATGTATCAACAGCATATCTGATGTATTTATTTAATATTTTACAAATACAGTACAGTAGTAATTTAATGATTCATTGTGTCGAGGGACAGGCAGCCAGAGTGTACATACACGTTAGGCTTATATTGAGGTTCCTCCACCCCCCCACAGGGTCGAATTACTGACCCTGCCCCAGGATGCAACCCCACAACAAGCTGACTTACTCCTGGGTACCTATTTACCGCTAGGTGAACCGGAGAATTAGGTGATAGGAAATGTGCCCAACTATTTTTCTCCCGCCGGAACTCAAACCCAGAATTTTCGATTGCGAGTCGAGAACGAACCCAACTATACTACCAGGACACTCTCTATAGTAGTAGGCATCCATCAGTCTCAGGAGACTATGGAGTTGCGTTCTGGTTGTCGGTCTGGAGTGGCCTCTCCAGGGTGTAAAGCCAGGGTAGGTTGATATGAAGGAGAAGCTGTTACCCAAGCAGCTGGTCCCCCCCCCCCTCTCCACGGCGTCGAGTCTCTCTAATAGAAAGGTAAACACCAATACGATTGGTTTCAGCACCGTCGCAGGAACTGAAAGCTCCGGAGTTGACCTTGACATTGGTGAAAGAAGGCACAGGGACTCCAAACCCAGAGACCACCATGGTTGGGGCCGGAGAAGAACCACCCCATCAAGGGAAATTACGACTCCAGCCTCCTAAAGCAGAGCTTGGGCCGCATGAGCCCCAGGAGGTGGACATTCCAGTCCTGCAGCTACGGATTCCAGACAGAGATCGTTACAGCCTTCTTGAAGGAAGCCAAAGGTAGGCTTCCTTCAAGACCAAGAAGAAGGAAGAGTAATAATTATTAAATACATCATTATTATTATAATAATTATTATAATAATAATATAATTAATTAATAATTATCACTCTCTATATACTATACTACTGTATTTTCAATCAATCTGAGTTCTATCACCCATATCACTGACACTGTCCAACTCAATTTCAGAGCTTCTTCTCAACTGAACAGTTATACTACTCTAATAGAAAATCCCTTCATTCTTACTGAACTAAGCATCAAACTCAAAACTATATTTTTACTGTTCCTCATTAACTGTTTTACCTTGTTTTAATAAAGTTACAGTACAGATTTTCCATCTTGTAACCTCAGCACTATTTATGTCCTCTTTTTCCTCTAAAGTTTCCTTCTTAACTTTACCATTTAACCTTGAAGGTCCTTTCTTTCTTGAACCTTTGATTTCTCCAATATACTGCACTCATACAGTATAACAAGTTTTGTTAATTTTTTATATATCTTTTACAGCACTAAGTAGGATAGGACATGCACAGATTAAGGCCAAAGATCAAGCACTAGGGCTGACATCTTTCAGCACATTACATCACTAAATGATACAATCAAATAATATTTTTTGAGATTATGTTTTAGCCCTAGCTTCACTAAGTCCTTCCATGCTGCTTATAATGCTACCCTCATTTCAATATCCCTTACACTTGAGCAACTCTAATTTATACCCTGTAAAAACTGAGATGTACTTTAACGGCTCAGCTACATGAAAGTCCTACACTGTGGTGTGCGTAGTAAAAAAAAATAGTTCACAAATCAAGGCAAAAAATTGCAAATGGTAATTGGAGCACCTGTAAGGTTAATGGTTTGAACGCTCCCTCTCGTGCTCATCACTACAGCCAATTTTCTTTCGCATATCTCTTCTACCCTTGCCAACCACAGCACATTAATGAAAGTTGTAAGGATATTTGTTTGTCTCTACACAATCAGCATTTCTGATCAAATTAGTTAGGGATATTATATTTCTCTGAGACAATCAAAGTTAATCAATTAACAATCCTTCATATGGCATTTCCTTACTTTAAGATAGTTGTCATTTGAAAGAGTTGAATAACTTGAAGTAACAGACAGCCCATCTCCAGATAAACCAGGGCCCAATGGTACAGGGATCGATCCATCAACTTCTTCACCCTGAAAAATATATGAATTCATATACACTAATTAACTTCTTTAACCCTTGGAGTGCACATATCATCCTAAGAAGATTGACCTATGGTGTGTATGTCATCCTAAAATGTTTTTAAGTAACCTACAACATTTGAAACTCTAATGGGCACATAAATTGTATTGACGTAATTGGGAATTCATCGCCTCACTACACCCAAAGTAAGTGACTTGAGATTAACTGGACATTTCTGGGAGAGCCCCGGTGGCTCTCAAAAGCTATCTTGCTGGGATTGTTCCCTATTCCATGGTCACACCAGTCATGGAAGTTCTGTTTGGCCTACTGGGAACCAAAGCCAGAATCTGGCATCCCCTCCTCACAGAGGTGCAAGGAACAAGTGATAAGTTGACATCCCACCGACAAAGCATCCAGAAAATCAGCAAGCTTCACAAACAACTGGAGGGTTTAGAAAAGCTTTGGGCCAGGAGACCTTGTTGTGGTGGTGGCATTTTCAGCTGGCTATAGTTAGGAAGTGACCTAATGGGTTAATAGGTAGTTAATAAGTGTGTGCTTCAATGTCTCTGTGATGCCATGTGCTTGGAAAGGCCTCAAGTTTATATGAACAAGTTTTTTGGCAGCATTCCGGGTTAGATTGATTATTACATTGTGTAAGTTTTTTGTTTTTGGGTAGTGTTATTTTCTGATTTTGCTTATGTCTCCAAAGAATAGAAAATAGCTATTATTTCCCTCAAACTTTGCTTTGACCTTTGCCTAAGACAGCTTTGGGAAGACATCTTGAAAATACCTGAAAGCTGCTGACTTATGAAACAGTGTGTCACAGCTCAAAATAATGAGTTGGCAGCCCAGCCATCAAGCACCTTCAAGACATCTTCGCTAAGCTGTCTTAGGCAAAAGTCAAAGCAAAGTTTGAGTGGAGTGACAGCCATTTTCCAATACTTTGGAGGCATGAGCAATCAGAAAATAACTATGCCCAGGGAAAAAGATTTGTGTTACATTATGGTATCCTGCATGTCTGAAGTAGGGACAGTTTGAAAAGTTGCCCACTGTACTAGTGCAGAAAGCAGACCTGCCCTGACTGCATGAGATCCTAACCAGGCATTCAGTAGGATCTTGCTTTAGGAAGCAACAGTGGCAGAGCTTAGAAAGAATGTGTTGAAAAGGAAGAGCAAGTCTAATACTGATGTGGCCTATATTCGGTGAAGAAAACATGTTGAAGTTCATATACTGTACAACCTGTTCTCGCAAATTTAATAAATCAATATTGACTTATTAAATATGTGCATAGGTGACATACTTAACATAATAGATACCCTTAAAAAGATTCATAGAAAACACCGACCTTACCTAACCTTGTTAGTATCTTAAGATAAGCATCTTATTGCTTCGTAATTACAATTATTACCTAACCTATAATAGGTATAGGTTAAGTAATAATTGTAATTTCGAAGCAATAAGATGCTTATCTTAAGATACTAACAAGGTTAGGTAAGGTCGGTGTTTTCTATGAATCTTTTTAAGGGTATCTATTATGTTTAGTATATCACCTATGCACGTAGTTAATAAGTCAATATTGACTTTACGAATTTGCGAGAACGGGTTGCACTGTATATTCTTTTCTACTGTCCTTTATTTAAAAGTAAATATTGTTATAATATTAATGGTATTTACACTTAACCCAAAACCTGAATTTAAACTCACTTGTTCTAAGGAATTGAAGCTGATATCATCAAGAGATTGAGAATCTTCTTCATCAGATCTTGATGCATCTTTTAATAAATCTAATTCTGCTAAGAGTCGAATATACCACATGGATCTGGAAAGCAATATTGTAAACTGATACCAAGGTCTATTTATTTATCTTATACTTAAAAGCTTTAGTTTTATATGCAACTACCCCGCCAATGTTAATAAACAAGTGCAATGATAAACTATCCCAACTGGAATTTATGCCTGTATATTCTGTCTTAAATGAAAATGCTGCTTAGGTATGAATATGGTACAGTATTTATGTTTTGAAAACGGTTCATGTACTATATTGCATATCTACATCTGAACATTTAACATATATTATAAAGAAGTAAATACCACTGCTTGGCACCCTAGAGTAAAAATTTTTAACAGAAAAATATGCAGACCCCATGCACTGATGTTATACAGGGGGTTAAACAATTCTGTCTATGGCATCAGATATGGACAAGAGCTATATTGGTACAATAGTTCAGCAAGATTCATTTGAGATACTGCACAAAGTTCATTCTATGTTGTGATGTGATACAATTGTCTTTCTTATTGCTTGAGCCCCAACACATCACATCTGATGGAGTAAACATAATTTGAATACAGAGCCATGTTACCCCCACTGGTTTTCATCTGACATTACATTTAAGGGGCCAAAATATTTTATTGCCAAGGATATTCAACCTCCAAAATGTATGATCCAAACAAAATTATTTCTGAACAAATGCTTACAAAAAAAAATAGAGCAATGATTTTTCCATTTGATATTTTTTTCTGTAATATCAAACTGCATCAGTTACAATACCAGTCATTATTACAAATCATAATTATAATTACAGGAATATATTTAATAGTAGTGCTACCTTCTAAATGCTGGTAAAAATAATTCTGCTTCCTGTAGCGTCATAAACAAAGCTGACTGAACTTCATCAAACCATGTTTCTGTGACCTTCTCGGAGCGCATTCGAAGAATCAGCCTCTTAACTATACTATCATCCATTGCCACTCTTGGACTTGCCTGTTATAAAAATAAGAAAATTATTTTTATAATTTTTATAATATTTATTAATTATTTTTATAATATTTAATAAATATAGAATTTCATACAGTAATACAAAAATTACAACCAGTATAAATCAAAATTATATACACTGACCGATGTCATATAGGTCTTTTCCAACTACCTAACAAAATTTATTTACAATAAATAACATTAAAGAAATAACACAAACAATTGTGCATAGGCATCACATTATTATGAAATTTGCATTAGATCCAATGTGTAGCTTTGCTACAAAAATCTTTGTTCAAATAGAACAGTGTCTGTATGGCCATGGCCACATCAATTCACTTCACTAACTTTGTGTAGGCATAACCACATCATATTTGTTTAAATATTTAATATTCTTATACATTTAGAGTAGTACTAAATACAGAATTTGTGGAGCATAGACAAGAGAATTTGTTAAGTCCCAAAAACCAGCTTTAATCCAAAGGGGAAGATCCCAAAAGTGATAATTTGTGTCATTAATAGGAAAATAAATTGTCACTGAAGTCTGGATAAATCAAGACATACCTGATTACTCTCCAGTAACCTGGAGTTTGATGGAGGTAAGGCAAATAGTGTGTGTGCTTAGGAAGCAACTGAGTGGTCTTCGTTCAGAAATAGTGTATTGAGTGTAATGAACTGCTCCTTTCTGAGCCAGTTCCTATCATGCTCTCTTTCCACAAAAGTTGTCTTATCTTTCCTGAGCATGGTTGGGTGGTCTGGACTTCAAGTGGGGATTGCTGGTTCCCCGACCCTGTTGTTGTGGCTGTGACAACACTTTGAGACAGGCTGCGGACATTACTCTATTAACAAGTAGTTTGCAGAGCAATAATTGACATTCTTTGACAGTTGTTATGAGTTAGACACACCACTGTCTACATTCCCTAAATAGAAATCAGGACAAAGTTTGATTTCCTTTCTGGGGTGTTCGAATATCATGTCACTGATTGTAGTAATGTCATTCCTGCAATGCAACTCCTAATTATATTCTTAAATTCATTAATTAGTTTATGGATATACTGACCAACCGTAGAAAAGGTAATAAAACACTGGAACAATGCAGCAATATTATACACAACAATTAATTAAAGGAAATACTGCAATAAACATACATGAATAACAATCCACACATGCTAACTTATATATAGCTCTGACATACTTTCTCAGACAGATATTGCTCATAGATCATCTCTGCCTCTTCTTTATGAGATGAAAGATCATGTGCAGAAAAGTGATCATGGCATAAGTCTGGCATGGTCATCCCAGAACCCTGAGATTCTGACTCTTCGAGGTGCTGTAACCGCTCCAGTTCCAGAGCACACAGTCTTTCATTAACTGTTGTGCGCCAACCTACCGAGTAAAATCAAATTAAAATATTAAATACCAGTATATAATTTGAAATCGAACTTCTAGGCCAACAATGTGTTCAAAGATTAACACAGTTAAGGTAAGAAAGTTCATTGAATATGAATCACTTTAAATTCTAAAATTCCTGGAATGATGTACAACAATATTTCACTATACCAAAATACTGGTAGTTATTGCTGAAAAAGTCTTATTTTTGCTACCTAATAATAAAGAAAAAGACAAGAATTGTAAATGGCACAAAATCATTAGCTTTGAACTCTGCAAAACTATCATAAAATGCACATATTGTATAACAAATGGGACGTACAGTATCATGATTAAGCATTGTTGAAAACTGCAGAAAAATTAATGAATACATTTTAATACAAAATATGCTATTCCTCAAGTGGATTAACTGGAGACCAGACCCTGTCTGTTGGACAGTTTCCATTCTACAGAGAGTTTTTTTCCTTTTATCTTGGTCATTTTGGGGTTTTTTAATGCAAAATGTTTCTTTTTTTAGCACAAAGTCTATAAGACATTTTTGTGCATAACTCTGCCCATTATACTAGAATTATATGTTAGCAAGAGTTTCCTAAATACATATTATTAGGCACTCAACATTTAATAGCATAAAATAATGTTCAGTACATGCATGTGCAAATTAGGATGAAATAAATTAACTTCTAACAAACAAATTTGTTACACAGTATTAAATACAGTAATAATAAATGTAAATGTTAAAAATCAGGGTTTGATCTTGTGAAAGCAAATTTTTGAGTATGTTACTTTCTTGTTGCCACAGATGAAATATCATGCATGCTACAAACAACAAAGCCACAGCAAAATCTGGGAGCTACACAAAAACCACTCGCCAACAAATAAAGGTATTGTAACCAAGCGTACCTGAGGTAGAGTACCCAAAACAAAAGCTTAGTCAAAGAGTAAAAAACCAGGGAACCACAAATGCAGTGTGAACTTTAAAAGGAGGAATCCACTGCTAAAGGTCAAACCAAACTATAACAGTAAACGTGACTGTGGATCACCAGCCAGTCAAGTCATGACACACATCATACGCTCACCAGAGGCACTACAAATATACATACTGTTTTGTCTTATGAATGACACAGCATAAGCTCACTTCATGGTGAAACCTAGTCTCATGCCTGCCCAACCATCATTGGAGAACTTGAGAATAAATGTGATGGGGTTTGAGGCAGAGAGCCTGAGGTAGGTATAGGTGCTGCTAACTGGCAGAGGCCAAGATGGCAACGGTAGGTTTATAAGACTACTACTTTGTGTGATCCCCAGTAGGGCTTAGAAAGGGTTTACATGAACATTCAGTTGTCACTAAGCTGATATGAACATTTCTCCAGTACCTTTATAGCTCCAGCAAGGTTTGACAATGATGTTTTAAAAGATCATATTGTGTCAGTGCAGACTGTCACCTTGCCCTGACTATCATGATCCAATCCTGTTATTTAGCTTTTGGGACAATCTGAGAACAGCTCAGAAGATAATAATTTGGTCATTTTATTAGAATAACTTCTGGTACTCCAGAACATTTGTATTAGTGTGATAACCCTCCTCTTAATGGAATATAGTGTAATGTATATGATTTGTTACAGTTATTAAGGAGATTAACAGAACATTTTTAAGAAGGCTACAATGTCCATTGATTAGACACATCCATTACAGAGAGGTCTGTTTAAGGATTTCAACACTGTTTCTGTCGGTCTGTTTGTATATGTGTAATTACCCAAGTGTAGTTACAGGATGAGAGCAATGCTCTCTGCCAAATGTTGCTCCATATACTTATTATATTATTAAGTTGGAAAGTGTAGCACAGGCTCCTGACAGAATGTCCTTTATGAGGTTCTCTGGTGACAGTTTACTATCCAGAACCACCCCTAGATCGCTATCTTAATCTGAGCTCTTTAATGCCTTTCCACATAATTTGTAGACTGTGTGAAGTTTTTTCTCCCATTTCACATTCCATAATGTGGCATTTAATCACATTAATTAAATTCCATCTGATAGTGTTACTCCATATGCTTATTTTCTCCATGTTATCTTGAAGATATGACAATCATCAAAGTCTATTAGCTTTACTAGTAGCTTAGCATCAGCTAACATTTTCTTATAATATTGTATTCCATCTGGTAGATCATTTATTTAGTCATTGAACTAAAACTGAACCTTGCAGTACTAGAGTAGTAACATTTCTCCAATGATACATTGCCTCTGATATCTGTACTTATTTTCCTGTCAGAAGTTCTCCCTGTCATGCCTCCAACATGTTCCAGCTTCTAAAACAACCTATTGTGTGGGGCTTTGTCAAAAAACTTTTTTTTAGGTCCAGATAAATGCAGTCAACCTAACCATATCTTTCCTGTAAGATCTCTGTGGCTCTATCATAAAAACAAGTAGATTTGTTACACAGGATCTTCCTGTTTAAAAGCCATGTCTTTTTATTATTATATAATTTCTTTCCAGGTATTCTACCTATTTGGTTTAGCAGTAATTATTTCTGTTTTGACTACCACGCTTGTCAACAAGACAGGTCCATAATTTGAAGGGTCTTCTATGTAACCGTTTTTGTAGATTGGAGCTATACTTGTCTTTTTTCCATATATCTGCTAAGATTCCTGTACAAAAAGATGCCTGAAAAGTCAGTTGAAGTGGAATACTCAGCTCAGGTGTGCTTTCCCTCGAAACCCAATGTCAGACTCATTCTGGGCTAAATGTTTTGTTTCTACCTACAACAAATATGTACTGTACATGTACATCTACAAATATGTACTACAGTAGCTCCTTCAGCAGTTTTTTCCCTTCATCTCCACTTACTATAATCTCTCTCATGATGACTATAAAGCCCTCTCACTCATCACCTAATTCTTCCTGTGTTCATGTGTTGCTTGTTGGTGGACTTTAGGCAATAATAATTAATTAGTTTATCTGGTTACATTTCTCTAGTAGTGCCATTATGTCAACTTCTCATAGGTTGTCAAGTATTAATTCTTTTACCTTCAGTCATTTCTTCACCAGACAGCAATGCCTCTACTTTTTCTGTCATATTTGCCAATAGTGTTACCCTTTGAGAATAACACCTTGTTTTAAACTTTATCTTCAAGTCTCATCTCTGTTAGTGCAACAATATCTGGCATCTTGAGCTGTATTATATCATTTAACTTCAGTATTTTTTACCTCACCTCATCTTAGTATACACAATTTTCAGAACTGTGTATGTATGTACTCACATAGTTGTGCTTGCAGGGGTTGAGCTTTAGTCCTGTCTCTCAATTGTCAATCTACTTGTGTACAAGTTCCAGAGCCTATTGGGCTCTATTATACCTATTTTTGAAACTATATGGAGTTTGCCTCCACCACATCACTTCCTATTGCATTTCATTTATTAACTACTCTAACATTGAAACAATTCTTCCTAATGTCTCTGTGGTTCATTTGGATGTGAAGTTTCAATCTGTCCCCCTTTGTTTATGTACCACTGATGCTAAATAGTGTCTTTATCTAGCCTATCAATTCCTTTGAGAAATTTTTAAGTGGTAATCGTATCTCCCCAAACTTCTATTTTCCAGTAACATGAGGCTTAAATCCAGTAGCCTTGTCTCAAAACTCATACCTCTCAGCTCCAAGACTAGTCTAGTGACATACCTCTGTACTTTAACTTTGTCTTGTTTGCCTAGATATGGATAGGGCAGGATTAGGGAACAGGGAAGCGAGAGAGAAAGGTAGGGGAGATGAGGGAAGGAGTTAGGAGAGAAATCCTAATGGATACCCCATCTATTATACACAAGTTTACAAGACTAACATTAGAATACTACAAAGATTCAATAGTGTACAGCTCAATGAAAATGTGTTCCAAATCTAAAGTCATTTTGTAACATCTCAAAATTGGTACCTATCATTAAAGATGATAATTTTTGTCTACTAAATATAAAAGGATCAAAGACTGATAAAAATAAACAATAACCCCTTTTAAATTCATGTGAATTATTGAAGCACTAAAAAACTCTGAGACTTGCATTACCAGGTAACCTTCAAAACAGCTACAGGAAATTGGTGTTGAAATCTGCCTCAAACACAAGTAAACAACAGAAACTTACACTCAATATTTAAGTACAAGTTGATATAATGCTGTGCATTAATTGAGGCCATGTAGTTGAGAAAATGATCCAAAGTGAGACTATTCTTTAATATTGCCTCAAGTGGCAGCTGAAACAACTTCCCACGAGCTAAATGTTGGTAGTCCAAATTCACAGGCAAACCTGTAGGTAAAAATTAAAATGAGGAATTTTAAGTGTAGTCAATTACAGCTATCCATGGAATGGCTTAAACAAAAAAATTCTGAGAAAATGTGGCACATTCACTTCACATGCAACCTAATTCATACAAACATCATACATAAAAATTTTGTAATAAAGGTACAGTACGAAGGTTGATCAACGATTTTATTTTTAAATAGCTCTAATCCTAAAAGGATGATAAGAGCATATAGATTAACAATCAACAATGAATAAATAATAGAATGATGAGTGAATCCAGGAATTTTTTCTAAGATTTGTTTGTATTAAATGCGCACAGTACGTGATCAGTGGCACATCTAGGGAGAAACTGCGCCTACGGCAAGCACTGAAATTGAGCCCCTGTCCAAACATCTGACACCCATCTCTCAGATAACTGTACCATAAAATCAGCTAAAAAATACTAGTCAACTTTGTTAATTTTTTAATTGACAAATTATGACACTACATGAAAATTACAACTGCACCTTCCTTGCTTTCACTGATGTAAATTCGTCTGTGATGTGGTTAAAGTCAGTTCTTTCAGTTTCTTCTCTTTCTACACTTAGAAAGAGAAAGAGATTACAGAGTTTGCCTTGACCCCATGGAGGCTCTCTAATACTTGTAATCTTGTATTAGTTGTAATCTTGCTGAATGATCTCTCATGGCTGGCAATGGAAACCACGATAGTTATGGAACTACTATTATATGAACAGCAATGTGAAGATTAAGGAAGATGTTCTCATCTCAATAATGAACAATAGATTTGAGAGGTTCTTCAGGTTTTGATATTTTCACATTTGCCCGACTTGATAGTAACGTTCTGCAATGTAAAATTTCTTCATACAGCTGCTGTCCATCAACATCAGAACTGTACAATTTGCCCAACTCTTTGCACTTCTTCTTTAGATCATTACTCTTAGCGGCAGTGCTGTAACACAATCAAAATATATTTGCTATACTGTATGTAGTTAAAGGAAATAAATCCTTTAACTACATATAATAATAATATAATCAAAGACAGATTGCACATCTTAAGAATTTTTTTTTTTTTTTTTCACTATCCGAGGATAGCTTATCTAACGTAAATAGAAAGTACTTAGTGGTGCCCCCTTCAAGTGGCATTCAGGCCACAGGTCATACTTGCCATACTCTAGATATGCCACTGTACATGATGCATTGATACTGTCTACCAATATCTTTGAAAGTGAGGCATAATAAATCAAGAAAAAACAAACAACTTGAAAAGCATGTGTGGTTTTCATGAGGATAGAAAGAAAAAATATCTATAACAAAAAGCTGTAAAGTGAAAGAGTCAGCAAATCATAAGACTGAAATGAGTGTATTGAGATTCTATTCAGATAATGTGGTAATGATCTGGATCATTATGAAATCATAGAATCTTCTATGAAATCATAGAAGGTCCCCCAACTTATCTTCAATATAAGTTATACATTTACTATGTTTTCTGATCTATGTCATTCAGTTGCACTCTTAGATAAGAGCCTGTGTCCTTGGAGAGGATCAAGCAACAGTCAGGCTAGACAATACATTGGCACCAGATACACATGAACCTTTTCAAACGGTCCCTGCAAGGTCAACGGTCAGAAACGGTCAGAAGTGCCAGACCAACCAGGCTGTGGTGGGTATGTGGGGCCTGCGGGCTGCTCCAAGCAACAGCCTGGTGGACCAAGCTCTCACAAGTCAAGCCTGGCCTTAGGCCGGGCTTGGGGAGTAAAAGAACTCCCAGAATCCCATCAAGCAGGTATCCAGCAGGTCATAATAGGATCTAACAAGTTCTTAGTCACATACAATTGGGTGGGTTGAGGAATGAGGGAACTAAATTATGTTTATGTGATTGGTAGGGATAAAACAGCAGAATCACAAGTGACTGGATGATAGGGAAACAGAAATAAATCAAAATGTTACAGAAACAAAAAAAGAGAATTTTTTTTTATAAAAATTTTGTGTAGGAGCACATGGCAAATGTACAAATACACTTTATAGAGTATGTCTGTGGCTGGGACATTTGAGAATATTTAGTAATATGTAGGGTGGAAATTTGTTGGGATCTCAATAAAATATAATATATTTATATGTTTATTGTATTTTATTGAGATATATTTATTAATATTTTACTAATTATTTAGGGAAGTGTTGAACAGGTGACTTTGGGATGTATCTAGAAACACTTTCCTTATTTTCCCCAAATACAATTAAGTTATGTCACACGAGTCACAATCAGAATGCATTTTGTTTTCTATCATGGGCTACTTACAAACAACTTGATATATAAAGCATACAATTATCGATTATGATTATACGGACATTCCCTTGAAACCTACTCCAATATTCGACTACAATTGTCAGATTCTTGGGCAACGTGAAATATATTCATTACAATCAAGCAGACAAAAGAAAAGAAAGATTTGACCTCTTGGAGAGAAGGGAGGGAATTATCAGGGAAAGTGCCAAGCCATTACGACTATATAGCACTTGGAAGGTGTCGGGATAAGGATTTGGGATGGGACGGGGGGAAGGGTATGGTGCCCAATCACTTCGACGGACGGGAATTGAACGCCAACCTGCATGAAGCGAGACTGTCGCTCTATCATCCAGCCCAAGTGGTTGAGATACAATTAAAACTACTATACTAGATAAACATTGTTTATAATAAAATGATGTTTCACTATATATATACAGTACATATTTAAAAGTAATTAAACAATTTACCCATTGAATCAGTTTCTGATCCTTTGTCTATTCTGTTGATACGATTGTCAATAACACGTCTTATAAATTCAAGACTTCCTAATTGCTGCTTGACTTCAGTCCCTTCATCACGACCTCCAGAATCCCGTGACCTCTGCAGGAGAAAAAAATACTGACTATAATGAAACACACTTTTCTGGTAAGGCCCCGAGTAGCTTCCTGAACTAAGCGCTGGTCTTGTCAAGCCATAGGAAGAAGTTTTAACAGTTTCCGTGGTGTAGTGGTAAGACACTCGCCTGGCGTTCCGCAAGCGCTATGTCATGGGTTCGTATCCTGGCCGGGGAGGATTTACTGGGCGCAATTCCTTAACTGTAGCCTCTGTTTAACGCAACAGTAAAATGTGTACTTGGATGAAAAAACGATTCTTCGCGGCAGGGGATCGTATTCCAGGGACCATAGGATTAAGGACTTGCCCGAAACGCTGTGCGTACTAGTGGCTGTACAAGAATGTAATGTATGTATGTAAGTATCCAGTGCTTCACAGCCCTTCTTATCAGAAGCCAGAACTAAAATCTGGCACCCTTTATAAGGAGAGGAAACCATGGAGATCAGAAATGAACCCAAAACTGAGGGGGAAAAACAAAGCATAAGTACAATAAAAGTAGCAACTGCTTAAACAAAATTAGGTAACCGAGGGTAACGAGGAAACAATCAGTGCCACGGAGTTAAGAGCCTAATTTTGATATTCCCGGCTACTACCAGGCAGCAGCCCATGCACCTGCTGCACCAGCCAGTGTGCCGCCTCAATCACAAGCTGCCCAGAAAACACCCCTTCACCCCACAAAAGGAAAGGAAACAGGGCGGTGACAGGGAGTACTGACTTAACTCATAACGACACCTCAGCAAAGAAAGCCGCATTTCTATTTTTTTTTATTCAACAGCAAAATGTGGCCAGGTCTTAACCATGGAAAAAGGAAGTAGGCAAAGAGGGCCAGGGGCAATGGGGCATTTTAGTGAAGTCTATAATCTGATCCTAGCTACCAGCAGGCAAGGTTGGGTCTCAGAGGACTGGTTTATTTCCTTGGGACTTGATGACTAAACCACACATCAGAAAATGAAGAAACTGTGAAGTTTTTATCTGTCCTGGACTATTATCAAGTGAGCTAGACAAGCGCTTAGCTCTGGAACATACTAAGAGAGCACTTCCAGAAACATCAGTAAATAATAATTTATTGCTAAATTGAAACCTTATTTGAAAATGAAAGCATACAAAGTTCATTCATGATGTTTTGTATGTCTAGCCAACTATACACATGTAAACAAAGAGAAGTATACACAAATACACCATTTACTTACTAAATTTGTCATTTCTTTTACAACAAGGCTTCTTACAGCATCTAATTCGTCTAAGTTACTAGTGGTTTTTATCACGTTAACAAACAATTCACTTGTTATTGGAATGTCTGTGCACTGAAAAGATAGGAAATTAATACCAATATTAAATGTGTTCGAAGCATTCAAATTAATTTTCACATGTAATTACAGTACAGTATATTGAAAATGAATAGAAATAAATTTCACAAGTTGTCATATCTGAGAAAAAGAATAAAACTTATTGCAAGACAAATAATGACTATATATATTGTATATGTTTTGATCATAACCAATCAAGATAAGTATTCCCAGGGAGTCATCTCAAGATACACACAAAAGTGGTGTAATAAGAATAGGATGCAATGATTGTAAGTTGCTGTAATGGGTACAGCAACTTATAAAGAAGGGGGGAATATAAGTTCTGTCATTTTCAATTGTAAAAATGAATTGTTGAGGCAAATGTGTACTTACAGCCCATATGATAAGGGTATTTATATAGTCTGGATCAGAGATGAGAGAAACAACAGGCATGATGACAGATGATACTAAAATCTCCACCACTGCAGCACACAGAGGAGCATTGGAGAAGTCCTCAGGGGGTAGAATATAGTACAAGATGGTCTCCACTATGTCACTTAAATAATCTGTTGAGGATAAATTTTTATTATTTACTATTTTAAGGTAAAGTGGGGCTGTCACCTCCGATTATCCCAGACAAAGCCTTCTAAATGTAATAATATATTGAGGTTCACACTCGACTGTCCAGAATCGACATCCCACTCTCTTGCATTAAAAACATTAATTAAAAATATATATAAAAACAGCATTGAATGTAATGAAACATCATTTTCTGGGTTAGTCTTGGAGGCTCCCTGGAGCTATTGGACTGATATTAGTTATATTATTCTGGGGCTTCAGTCATATGGAGTTCAGCCTAGTGGAGATCACTAGGCAGAACCTGGCCCTCCTCAGGGAGACACAGGAAGCAATGGCCTAAGGAAACCCCCCTTGTGTTTGGGAGTACAGTATTCCATATCTGCCATCGACCTGGGTTGGGCACAGAGAAAGATGAGCGTCCCAAAACAAACCCCACAAGGTAGAAAATTGCAACCTAAGACCGAACAGGGAGCCAGCACTCCCCCAAAAAACAAGGAAACAAGCAAACGTCATCAGCCTGCCGTGCCATCTTGTCCGCGCAGCTTCCCCCTTCCCCCGCGCCGGCTGCCCACTTTCCAGTTTGGAGACTGAACATCAAAAACGAAACAGCTGACCAGAGGGATAGAGAATGCCACAGGGAGCCTCCAGGGCTCACCCAGAAAATGGCATTTCATTACATTCAATGCTGGTTTTCTATAGGGAGCCCTTTCGGAGCTACATACCCAGAGATAAGTAAAGGAGGAACCTACCTGGATGATGGCAGCACCGCGTGCCTCAACTCGAATACGAGACAACTGGCGACAACCGACGGCCCAAGGTCACACAACAACTACTCTGACCCAGAGCAATCATAAAATAATGGGCCGCCAGGACCCTGTTTGACCCCCCCAAAACCTCCCCCGTGCCTGAATGTCAGCCCAGAACATGGTCCCAAACACAGCGGCAAGAGCAGCATACAGTACTTACGAACAGCATGGCCACGAGGGTAGACCGCAGGCTGGCTAGACTTAAGGATCCTGCGGACAACCTGAGAGACCCGAGCCCTGGAACAGGGAACGAGGGAGATCGGATCAACCCAAAGTGCGTCCCCGGGCACAGAGTGGTGCAGAGGTAATGGCGAAGAGCTGCAACTGGGCACAACACATGTTGAACCCCCTGGCCGAACCAACCAAGCATCAATCACCCAAGGACCCCTCCAGAAGCCTGATTCTCATTCATCAACAGAAAAGAAGGAGACAGCTGCAACCGAACAAAACGTCCATCAGGAATGAACGAGCAGAAACCCCTGCACTGGAGGAGAGCAGGAAGCTCACTGACCTGACCACCAGAAGCCAATGCCAACAGAAACAAAGCCTTCTGAAAGCAGTCTAGAACCAAAGGGGCTACCACAAACCGAGGAGAAGAGAAAAAAAGAGAGCACCCGGTCCAAAGACTAGGACTGCTCAGGCGGCGCATGAGCAGGCCGAAGGTGAAACAAAGTACGAGACTGCCCAGAAGCCACGGCAGGAGGACAAGTCTTGAATGCCTGCCTCCGTCTTGAATGGGGCAGCCCCCGGAGCCGCCCGAGTCTCATCACCAACTAAACTCTGCCCCAACTCTGAATCCCTCAGATATTTGGGAGCCGGCAGTAGTGTCGGAGAAGCAGGGTGGGGAGAGGGGGAAGAGCTGTGCGGACAAGTAGCACAGGTCGCTGATTACGCTTGCTTGTTTCCTTGTTTCTTTTGGGGTGAGTTCTGGTAACTGTTTGGTCTTGGGTTGCAATTTTCTACCAGGTGGAGTTTGTTTTGGGATGCCTATCTTTCTGGGTGCCTAACCCTGGTTAATGGCAGATGGAAGACTCCCAAACACAGTGAGGTTTTCCTTGGGCCATTGCTCTCTGCAGGGCCAGGTTCTGGTTCATGGTTCCTGGTAGGCAGAACTCCTTCGACTGAAGCCCCAGACTAATACTGAATAGGTAATATCAGTCTGATAGCTCCAGGGAGCCGAAGAGGCTCACCACAGAGAGAAAAGTTAAAGCTTTACAAAGTCTAATCACATAAAGCTCACCTTTTTCTGCATCTGACTTTAAGCATATTTCATCATGACATATATCTTTTTCTTTTTCTGCTTCTCTTTCAAAGAAGTAATCAATCAACTCTTCACTAGTGGCCTTTCCACGTGCAGCTGATCTCGCTTCTCGAAACAACCGTAAATGACAAGCGATGTCATCAACAAGTCGCGTAGTAAGATAGCCAACCCAATCCATATTTTTACATCTGAAGGGAAAAGTATGTGCTTATTAGTTGAATTCAAAAACTAAAGAAAATAAGTCAAACAGATAATAAATATAAACCTAGAGTGAACTTATTTAAGATTAGGAAAGTATGAATAAATTGCATTATTACAGTAATATATTTTATGACTTCTTTTGAAGCTACATTTTCCCCAAAAGGCAAAGAGTTTAACTAATCTACAGCATTATTTTATATATGTTTAAAATCAAAGGATATAATAAATATTGCAAAATCTTACCTATTTGCAAGGACAATCATAGAGTGCTGTACAGTTCGATGCAGCTGAGTAATAAACGCTTGATGGTAGGAGAGGTGGTTGTACCAAGTAAGTATGAAGTCACGTACTACAAGTGTTACCACCCCTTGAAGCTGCTCATCTATAAGGCTGGATCCTGTGACTCGACGATCTTGCCGCTCAGTGCTGCTACTAAGTTGTATACTACTCACCACCTATGCATGTCAAAATAAAAAGATAATGAAAAAAGAACAAAAATAAGCTGTTATACAACCATCCAAATCTTTTGCTTAGCTGTAAAATTCAGAGTACTGTATTACCTACTTTCAATTCATCTACATTACTGTATTTTGAATACCTGTACTGTTTGTTCTTCATATCTCCCCAAAACTCATGTACTAAGGGAAGAGGCTGGCTATTATAGGAATGATGATTTAAGACAACAGTCTTCTACCTACCATGCTAAACATGCCCTTTTAACTTGACATATATATTCACTACACCCTCGTGAGACCATCCCCATATGTTCTGTACTGCTCAGTACAGAACAACACTATACATTTCTTTTATAGCATTTTAGTTACCTGTCACTTTTGGCACAACACTCAAATTTTATATATTCCATCCATAGTGGCTGGAGGTTCTATTATTTTTCGAGGATGGGTGGTTTTTCTTATACTGATGGCTCCACTTTTCTCTCTCTCTGTCAGACTTCAGTTGTAATCCTTACATTGTAATCCTCACTTTAGCTCACTCTTTGCAGTTTAATTCTTGCAAGTCTAATCTTTCAGGGCACTTGGAGTTTAGCCATAAGTCAGTAACTTTTGCTTTAAATGAGCTTACTATAAACTAAAACAAATTACAGAGGAACCTCAAGTGACGAGCGGCTCCATCTATGAGGATTTCAGGTAACGAGCAAGCCCGCTCACAGAAAATTTGTCTCAATTGACGAGCTTCTGCTTGGTTAAGGAGAAAACCACGTGGTGCTTCCTAGCGTTCCCGCCGATTCTCACAAATTCTCGGACGCCTCCGATGATGCAAAACAATTAAAAAAATTTAAAAGATGCTAATGATGCTGGGATGTAAAGGGGTGACTGCTATAATGTTGCAAAGCATTGTTTTTTTTTTTTAGAAAAAATTAAACAAAAAATTAAAAAAAATTTGAAAAAGAAAAAATGTCAAAAAGGTTCGTTCAGTGTATGTCAGGTAGGCTGCTCCATTTTCTACGGATTTTTTTTTTTAATATCATTGATGTTTTTCAGCGGTGGAACAGATTAATTTTATTTCCATTATTTTAAATGGGGAAATTCGTTTCACAAGACGAGCGTTTCACATGACGAGCTCAGTGCCAGAACAGATTAAATTCGTTAACCAAGGCTCCTCTATAAAATATATCTTACTCTCACTATTTCCTGTTCCTTAATTTCTACATATCCATCTAACTTAGTTACAATTACAGAAACATATTACAATACTTTAAGTCTGTTGAACAATATAGATGCATACTTGAATATCACAGAGATGTTTTAGACAAAATGGAAATAATGCTTTGTGCAACTCAAAATTCTTTCAGTCAATGAATCATGTTCATCAGCTTCTCCAGAAACTTGGTGAACAGGATGAAATGCTAAATGTAAGTGTCCTGAGCTACACAGAGCTTTGGTTTTTCCATAAATGAACACCATAAAATACTAGCTACCAAATCCAGAAATACTTGCCTTCTCGTGTTGATCAGAAGGCAGCGGGAGGTGTGATCTGTGTATGTTAAGCCACATCTCCTCACTCTCCACTAGGCTACACCATCGCACTGCAACTACCCATCTACATAGGACATATAATTGCCTTAATCGAACAATGTAAAACAAAAATCTCTGTGAATGATTTATAAAATTATCAAAACAATTTATCATATAAACCATGGCACAATATTAAATTATATGAAAGACTGGACAAAGCTTATTATGTTACTATTTTGGAATGTATAAATTATATGCATTAAAAACAAAACTGAAGTAGTAAATTTTTTAATAAATCATTATATACAACAGTTACTTAACATCCTTTGGTATTTTGACACTTTAGATATCAATAATGTACTGTACATAACTCTAATAAGTACTAAAAGTACTTTTTACATGGCTCTGACAGCTTCAAATTCTGTCCAATAATACTGAAAATCAGGAAATTGCAGAAAAATGCAATTAGAAGAATAAGGTGCAAGATCGCATTATATTCAGAGCCCGTGAGTTAACCTTGTGTGTCCGAGACTATTTGAAAAGCCAAGAACGCTTTCTACAGTACTAGTACTTCCTATTATGATTATAGGAGTAAAGGCATGGAGGTAAGTCACATTTGTTGATGTGTAATTTGTTACTTCAGTAGCCACACATCTATCTCTACAAAGGTCATGGATAACATTATAAATGACTGGGTAAATATCTAAGTAAGGAGTGGGTTTCTGGGAGATGGGCATGTATGAATAGCTTCTTTCTAGTAGATATAGTAAATATGGACTTCACTATAGCTTTTGGTAAGGTACCACATGAAAGGCTGACAAAAATTATAAGTACACAGAATAAATGGAAGAATAATAAATGGATAAAGCAATGATTAAAATAGAGAGCAAAGGGTCATCCCATATGGAAATGAATCTGACTGGAAAAATGTGGTGAGTGGGGTACTGCAATGTGCCATACTAGGGTAACCCCTTTTTGTATACAGTATACATTAATAACATAAATGAGAATATTACAAACCACATCGTCAAATTTGTAGATGATGCTAAGATTTATGGTAAAGTAGAAAGTGAAAATGATATCGAGGCCTTACAAAGAGTGTTACATGAACTCCATAAATGGTCAGAAGACTGTCAAATATTTTTAATATAAAAAATGCAGGACTTTGCATTTGGGGCACAACAATGCACGTCAAAACTACCACATAAACAACATTACCTTGCAGCACATTGATGAAGAAAAGGACCATCAGGTCAGAATCCACCAATCACTGAAAGTTGCACAAGTGGGAGCTGCAGTACAAAAAATTCCAACCAACCTTAGGAACAGTCAAATGAACCTTTGACTTTAAAGGAATGAAAGTAGTTATTCAACTGTATAAATCTCTGGTGCACACACCATTTGGGCTATTGTATCCAAGCATGGAGACCTCATTTTCAGAAGGATATACTGTATCTACTTTGGAGAAAGCTCAACACTAGGCAACAAAAATCATCCCAGAACTAAGTTGACTCTCATACCAGGAATGGCTGAGGGCCACAAGGCTAAAAACAGTGCAAACCAAAGAAGACGACAACCACACCACCAAAGAAGAGCATAAAGTTCCCCAACCCAATAACCAGAAGAGAGAACCAACAAAAACAGAGCCATAAGAAACAGATTTTGGACTGATGGGGCAACTGGGAATCTAGAAAGGAAAGAAATGCTAGCTGACTATCAAGAAACCAAGATGGCCCAGAAAAAATATGAGCTGGCCAGAGGTGAAAGAAAGCACACAACAACTTGTGAAATGATGCCAAGGGGACATGAATAGCAAACGCCACCAAGAAAGGCTCCACCAAAGGAGAGAGATAAGAGGTGACAATAGACATAAGATTCTGATCAACAAACAACCATGACAGAAAACCAGCACTGAATGTAATGAAATGCATTTTTCTGGATGAGCCCCAATGGCTTGCTGAAGCTATCTCATCGAGATGGCTCCCAACTACAAGTACTAAGCAAATCAGTCATGTAGTTCTATTTGGCTTACCAGAGACCAGAGCCAGAACCTGCCCCCCCCCCTCACAGAGGCACAAAGAGTGGGTGACACCCCACCACCCCACAGGGAAACCATCCAAAAAGTCAGCGAGCCAATAGACCACTGCTAAGTTCAAAAAGATCAAAATCTTGAATGTGCCAAATAAACCTCTCAATGTAAACAAACGGTTGAATCTCTTGAAACTAGGGCGAGGGTACCACAAGACCAAACCCCAAAAAGCCCAAAGAGGAATCCAGCAATGCAAGAACTGATGAAGAGCAAAGGGGCCCAAACCCAATAGTCCCAACAGCAGTGAAACAGGCAGATCTGGAGAAACCATCACACCCTCTGCAGATGGAAACAAAGACCAGGAAGGGTTGAAGGACACCTAGGGACACTCCTTAAGCTCCCTTCCCCAGCCCCAGAAGTCTGTAATGAAGACCCCCAGAGCAGAGCAGAGCTCCATGCCTGAACAGACAGGAAGGCTTCAAAGTAAGTAATTATCAAAGAAGGCACCAAGCCGCAAAGGCTATATAGCGGAAGGCTTCAAAACAATCAAAGCCAAAGACACTCCCCAGAAAAAAGATGGCCCAGAATTTTGGCATGAAACAATGGCTCAACTGTCTCCTATGTCTAAGTGAAAGGAAGGACCCCCAGAGAAGGCCAATTTACACCCACATTAAATGTACCAGGATTGTACCTAGATGGGTTTCTGGGAGTCGTTCTACTCCCCAAGGCCAGCCCAGTGCCAGGCTTGAAATACAGCCTGGGTCCTGAAAGTCTCAGCCACCCTGGAACCCAGAGCAAAGGAAAGGTGTACAAGCATTCTGCACAATGATGCCAGGTGGACAATGGGAGGAGCAAGTGTAAATCACACTAGCAGAAACACCAGTCACTCCAAACCTAAAAATGAAACGGACTAACTCTGAGGCAACACTAGTACAAAGCCAAACACACAAATGGACAAACAAGCCCAAAGTATCAGCTGCCTGTGAAGCCTTGTTATGTATCACAAAAGCAAGGAAACTTAAAAGATGTAGGCTAAAACAAAAATAGCAAACCTGTGAAACCCATTGTCACAAGCTGCAAGGTAGAGGGGTAACTGCCATCCAGCAGGCAGCACATGGAACAACAGACAATGGAACTGACCATTGGTAACAAAGCCAACATAACCCACAAACTTGCAAGAAACAAGTGTGGGCTCAGTTGGTGCAAATATAACACCAAAGACCAAGCAGAACACCCTGGCACTGGGGACGCTAGCAGGACACCCAGGCACTGAGGACGCTAGCAGGACACGCAGGAACTGAGGATGCTTGCCGTAAGAACTGACACTGAACACAGCATTGAGATTAACTCGGCTATAGAGGCATAAGCAGCATGCAATATGAACAAGCTTGTGAACCCCCTGTGCAGCCCACAAAAATAAACCTTGAATACCCCTAACCAAAGGGCCTCATAGAGGAGTCAGAGATACTGCACCTCTTAAAGAGCAAGGCTCTCTACAGTAGCCTGGCCTCTCAGGGGTTAACTCCTGAACACACCAGAGAAGTCACTCTGTCAGTGAAGGGGCAATGCTAAATGAGCACTTAGGGAAGAGCTGCCTTAACACATGCAGCTCAAAGTAAATAATAAACCAAGTCCATGCAACAAATGAGGCTTGAAACACACACATGTGAAGCAAATACTGTACTAAAGGATAGAAATGACACCCAAGTAAATAATCTTCACAGGGCATTGTCCAAAGGATAGCCTGCACTTTTCTAATACAGTAATGAAGTGGGACTCACAATGGTCAGCGACTCAGGAAAGTCTGTAGCTACAGACATTAGCAACGGGCAAGATGGTGTGGGAGCCAGGAGCTCCCACAGTGCTGCCACCTCTTGGTCAATCATAATCAGGGGAGTTCAAGGTAGTTTCTGAATGAGACGTTTCTAGATTGGTTGTTTTAGTGCTTTGTTTTCAATGAATCTTGCTGTAGTTTGAATTGTTTTGCTTACTTTCTGAATGTTTTCTTTGGTGAGGGTGTTTGTAACAATCTCTTGCTCCCTGTGCCTCTGTGAAGGTGGGGCCAGGTTCTGGTTCTGGACCCTAGCAGGCCATACTGGACTTACATGGCTGATGTAACTTGGTTGGGGGGGGGAATCTCGGTACCATAGCTTCCAGGAGCCACTGAGGGCTCCTACAGAAAGCATCTATATCTGTAACTTTGTTTAAATATTCTAACCAATGTTTCTAACTTAATCTAAATCTCAAATATCATTTTACATTAGGTCAAAATTTAATAAAGGGCATTTTAGATACTATATTTTGAACACATATAAACATTCCTACACTCATCACAAAGTCTAATATATATTTGTTGCTTACGCTCCACAAAATACAATTGTAGACACTGCAAGGGCCAGACAAGCTTTAATGCCAAATGAACCGAGCAAAAGCGCAGCTCCCAACACAGTCCAAGCCCAAACTGCCATGGCTGGAAAAAATAACAGATCATTATATTTTGTGTCTATACACAATGTGTAATATAACAGTATGTCTATACACATATTTGTGTCTGCTCCCAACACAGGCTTCTGAACACGTATTATAGTTGCTAATTTCTTATACTTGAGTATGAAGATATGTTGTTGAATAGGCGGTAAAGGAATAGGCAGGATCTCCTTGCTTAAGCAAGAGATTTCTGTAACAAGGTATACAGTAAGAAATGAGAAAATCCAATTTACAATGGTAGAGTATGCAGCTGGCAATGCCCTGGTCATGGGTTCGTGTTACTTCAGAGTTTCACTGGATTTTCTCATTGATATAAATCATGTTAGTGTTAGTGTGATTTTCTGTGAGTACAGGTACAGTACAAGTATTAACTTTTCACTTAGAAAAAGGCTAGTTACATCTAACACTTTGTAATAATATCTTTCACTCCAGTTTTCTGCATTCTCAATAAGGATAATGTACTTAATATTTTTATTTTTAACAAGGTGTTCCAAAGTAAGATGACAATTTACACATTACGAACACTGTATTTTTAACTGTGCAGGTAAAATAGCATCTCATATTAGGCATGGGCTTTTGCACATGAGCTAGTTGTAAGTAAAAGCAAAACTACTGTATAAATATTTTAGAATGATTTGGATGTGCAGCAAGCTGCCTATAAACAGTCATTAACGTCCAGACCGTAACCAATATGACTATGCATACTAGTTACTTCATGAAGTATGCACCTCTTTATAACAAACAATCACTGTATCATGTTGTTCTTCATTAGTACAGTTGGGTTCATTCTCGACTTAAAATTGGGAATCCAGGGTTTGAATCCCAGGTGGGACAGAAATGGTTGGGTACACTTCCTATCACCTAATGTTTCTGTTCACCCAGCAGGAAATAGGTACCTGGAAGTTAATCAACTGTTCCGGGGTTGCATCCTGGAAGGCGTTGATAGTTCAACCTCGGGGAGGGACCTCGATACATGTCTAACGTACATATATACACAGACTGCCCATCCTCGACAAAAATAATAGTTATTATTACCTGTACAGTAATAAATTTACCAAGCTCAATATGAAACAATTATCATTTAGTTTATTTTGGGGGTTCATACACAATATTAGGTTAGGTCGTATCAGATCCGATTTCTGTTAGTGAAGAATAAGCAGCATTAATCACTTGGACAACCACCTCCTTATAGCCTGTCATCAACTTCAACTTCCAGAATTATCCCATAATTAGCCAATGGCTCAAATAAATTAAATATACAAATTAAGCCATTAAGGCATACATCAGACCAATACGAACTCCAATTATTTGTTATAACGTGCTCCACCCAAACGAAAATGAGCCCCAATGAGGTAGTGGGAGTTGTCCCCAGCACAGCTGATGCCTCACTCCAGCTAAGGTGGTTTACCCAATGTTTTGCTAATTAACAACCAGCTACTGCCTCAGATGACCACTGAGCCTAATAGTTAAAATCAGGAAGACCTTAAGTCACCGTTCTCTTACCTCAGAATAAAAAGGTTTATTTAAACTTATTCTCGACTATGTTTTGTGTCCATCTTCCTACAATGTTTACGTCCGCCCGAACAGGTGCACCCCGTCAGCTAGCGACCGCCTGCAGCAGCACATAGCCTCGCGTTCCCATTGGTCAAGGGGTGACAAGTTGTATTCTGATTGGTCGTCAAAGTGTTAGGGGGCAGCTGCCGAAGAGTACCACCGTCGACCCACATTACGTTATTTCGTACATAAGGATCCCGTACACTGACTATTCTGAGTGATCGCACACAGGCGCACGTTTCGTATGCTCACTTTCTATCTATCTATTCATCTATTTATTTATTTACTAAAAGGTACATTGGTTTGTAAGAGTGCATAACATTGATGTTCTTACATTCTTGCAAAGCCACTAACACGCATAGCATTTCGGGCAGCCTTTAAATTACCAGAATTTACCTGAAATAGGCTCTGGAACCTGTCGTGTGCATATTAAAAGCACTTATTATTTCTATACATGAATCTATATATATATATGAAGTCTACCTCCACCACGTCACTTCCTAATGCATTCCATTTATTAACTACTCTGACACTGAAACATTCTTTCTAACGTGCCTGTGTCTCATTTAAAGGTCCCGGTAGTATAATCGGGTTCGTTCTCGACGCACAATCGAGAATTCTGGGTTCGAATCCCGGGCGGGACAGAAATGGTTGGGCACATTTCGACTCACCATAGATGTAAAGTGCCTTGTATAGTGACTGTTGTGAGCCTCTTGTTGAATCACTTGTGACACAAAAGATTATTGATGATTGTACATCATCATAAAATAATCATCATCATCATCAATAATCATAAAAATGATTACTGATGTGTGTACTTGTGTGTGTGATTAAATATGTATGTGTATGTGTATATGTATACGTATATATATATGTACATGTATGTATGAGAATGTGTACATGTATATATAACATTAATAATTTTATAATTAGTCAAAATTTTTTATTTGCTTAGCTAAATGAACTAGAGGGTTCAGTTCCTGAACCGATTATGTGCCTCTGTAATCCTTTACACCACCGCCCACGGGATGGGTATGGGGTGCATAATAAAGAAAGAAATTGATTTCACCTAATGCACCTGTTCACCTAACAGCGAGAAGGTACTCAGGAGTTAGTCAGCTTGTTGTGGGGTCACATCCTGGTCGGGGTTAGTAATTTGACCTTAAGGGGAGAGTAAGGCCTTGATAAAAGCCAAAACGTGTATGAATACATTCTGGCTTCCTGTCCCCTGACACAATGAATTTTTATATTATTTGTGCCTGTAGGATCGAGCATTGGCTCGATCCTACAGGCCAAAATCGATCAAGTAAATTATAGATTCTTTCATGCATTCTTTTTCTCAGGCTGGCAGTTTATTATACCCTGAAAAGTGGGGTTTATAGTCATTTGATTTCTTGGCATATACCATTGTATAAAGTCGAGAAGAACGATGGTATAACATAAAACTGTATGTCCAGGAGAACGGGAGTTCGGTATACATACTGTATATCCATGTTTATTATGAACATAACTGTAGCAGGGGTCAAAGTATGTCATTTGCATTTACTGTACTTGGAGCCAGAATTTTGGCATATAGGAGCATACTGTGAATAGGACAGGCATCACTAGAGAATGTCAACTGTGTGTGTTATATACCTATATATATTATATATATACCTAGTTTCCACCCACCCTTGTGTTGGAGAGGGGTCAGATTATTTACCTGAATTTATTCAAGGACCACTATCTTCCTAGTGGCCTTGACAGGAAGCCGGTGGTTTGCCAAAGGTCCTCCATTGTTTCTGGGGATTTTCTCTATTTGGATTTTGAACTCAAGTAATGAATTGGCATTTTCAGCTTGGGCAGGTAGGCAGTTCCATGGGTTTATAACTCTATACTAGGTTTAAAGATGAAGGTAGGGGTAATGAGACATTTTATTGCTCGATGTTGCACATGTTCATGCTCTGTGATTCTGTTAGATACATACTGGCCACTGAAAATCTGTTTATTACCTGGTGATAACTCACCTCGGTGCAAGGCATCAAACAGGCCATAAACCATTGTCCTTTCCTTAACAAATATATACCATAAGTTGTGACATATCAGGTTTTCATGTAAAAGCTTTTGTTGGGAGAGTGAGATAAAGATACCTAACATGCTTGGTCCTTAGATATTAATGTTTTAACATGCTAGTAGGAAAGACTTCAGAAAATAATCAGAAGAGCTCATTGTATTAGGCATCAACCAGCAATCAAGGTAGACAGAAAATTAAAAACTTTACAGTTTAAATTGACACAGAGAACAGACACCAAAGAAACAAGAAACAAAATCACCTCATATTGTTGCCTCAAGGAAAACTGGAATGTGAAACAAAAGGTCCACAGTATAGGTAACTGAGAAGATTGGCTTGAAAGAGGCAAATGAATGAAGAGCAGTCACACACATATTCAGGAAAGGAAAAAAAAAGAGGACTTGGGTATGTGGGATTGTATATCTCCAAGTTACTGAATGGGCATATGCAACGAACGGGTAGAGACAAAGGCCTTATCCTCTTCTGGCTGGATGATGAGGGCATAGAATGGAAAGGGGGGGGAAGGGGGTTGTAGCTTCAGTGTAATTGGTGGTGATGTCAGACAAATGTTATGAGAGGGTGGGGACAGGTGAACATCAGCCGTGACTGAGTGTGGGAGGATGGCAGAGGCAGAGGGGAGAAATATTTAATTTTTCAATTATCAGGGGGAAAGTGCCAAGCCATTATGACTTTATAGCACTTGGAAGGGGTCAGGATGAAGATTTGGGGATAAGGGGAAGGAATGGTGCCCCACTTTGAATTCTATTAATACAGTAATTAAAATGCTTGGGAATTGGAAGCAAAACACACATCATCATGTTTTTAACCATTATATAGTAAGTTATCAAAAGAAAGAACTAAGCCTGTATAGCTATATACCAGTCTACTGTATTGATGTAGAATATTCAGGTTTCTAGCAATCGTTCAAAATGTTAATACAAGAGAGGAATATATAAGATGGTAAAAGTAACTGGTACAATGGGGCACAGATCTGTTCCATTAAATGTCTATAGATTAATCTTCTGTGATCAACATGTAACCGAGCTATAGATGTTTCCCATTTTGTGTTTTGGTGTTAGGAGGAAGGCCACAGGAATAGGTTACATTTGCTTATAAAACTCCTTACTTCTTTTTGCTAGGCTTAAAAAAGCAGCAATGTTGTGTGTGCCTCTGGTATTAAATCTGCTGATACTTCCTCCACTCCAAAGTATTTTTAGCTTTTTGATGGCTGCAACTGCCTCATAAATTATACAGGCCTACTGGCCTTCTAGTCTCCTCTTCCAAACCTCATTACTTTACACATGCAAGAATTGAACTTCAGTATCAATTGTCCACCCATTCCTGCAGCCTGTCTAGGTCCTCCAATAACTTTGTGCAGTGTACTTAAACTGTACTCTTCTCATCAGTTTAATAATGTCTACAGACTTGTAGACATTATTAAACTTGTGCCACATTACTTATACAGTTCTCGGCATCTGATCCAGGAATCATTAGGTCTGTAGCGGCACTCACACCATGTGAAGCAATTCTGTCATATGAATATTTGCATGACATTACCTATTCACGTATACGAATATTTGTTCACATACATAGTCGCTCACCTATTAAATAGCTTATTGGGTTCTTTCAATGACAAAATGTCAGTGCAATGTAGTCGAGTGTAAATATCGGTTAACTAAAATCAAGTAAGACTGATAAATGGAATCGTTATAACACTTTCCTGGAAATCTAGTGGTCCAAAATTTACCATAACTATATTCCCCACTAACTTTCCACAAAAGTCCAATTTGTTCACAAATATGCAGTGAAACTGGGGTAATATAAGAACATAAACACTGCTGTAGGCTTATTGGACCTTACAAGAGTCCTAAATCTATTTACTTTCCTATTCCACTCTGTGAGATGCTGTCAACAGCCCATGAATGGGTTGACTCAGAAATTACATTACAGTTCCTGCATTATTAGTAAGCAGCTTAACCATTTGAGCTTTGGTCCATTCATCTGTTTTAAAAAAAATGTATTATAACAGCTGAAACACTGATTTCACAAAGTAGCTTTGCTAACTTTCCTGAGATATGGTTAATCTGGTGTCTCAATCTCCCGAATTTTGTACCCCAAGCTAAATGCAAAATGTTCCTGTCCACATATAAAGTATCATTTTGAAGAAATGCTTACCATATGTAAACAGTACTTGAAAGGCATAGTTTTCATACAATAGAAAATATTTAAATAAATTTATAATTGTAATTTCTTTGTGAACAGCTACTCAACATAAGTCTAACCACTTGGACTGGATGGTAGAGTGAGTGACGGTCTCGTTTTTTGCAGGTTGGCGTTCAATCCCCGACCATCCAAGTGGTTGGGCACTATTCCTGTTTTGTCCTATCCTAAATCCTTATCCTCATATCCTTTCCAAGTGCTACATAGTCATTATGACTTAATGCTTTCTCCTGATAATTTCCTTACCTTACCTCAACATAAATAAAGGATATGCTTTACATTTGTAATTGTTAGTGGAAGGTATCCTTGTAAATGAGATGGGGTTACCTCAATGTTTGTCCATGCCAGTCAAATGGTCCCACAATCAACATTTGGTCTTGCTGAGATTGTTGCATTAGCCTTGCACTATCATACCACACAAAAAGTTCAAAACCTTGAAACAAATTAACCAATGCTTGCAAGTATGCTTTTTATGAAAAATCCAAGTGCTAGTCTAAGAACAATTTGACAAAATCTGTTGGGAGTTGTCTCAAAAACCATTGAATGTTTATAGAAAACATTAATAAAAACATATGGAAACAAAATTCTTTATTGAGGATGTTTGTTAATTATTCCATGCTGAATGCTATCTACAAATTAAAAAATAATTTCTTTGAAAAGTTAGTTGAGTGTTACTGGCTGGATGAATATTAATCAACACAACCGACATTACTAGTATCAATTAACCATTACACTGCTCCAGTTACTATTTGCTATTTTTTACCATTTGATTTGTTAGCAATTTTTCATTGGCCACAGCATGACGTAGTACTTTTAAATAACTGAGCAGTCTAAGGGTTAACTTGTAACCAAAATGTAAATCCATGGCAAAATCATTCCATAAAATGTTTCCACATATACACAAAAACATCTAAGCTTTCAAGAAATCTGATATCTACTTTAAAAAGAAACTACATTATTTAATATGTAAACATGGCAGCAATTTTTCAAATCCTGAATTAACTTTTCATGTAACAATGACCACATGACAAACACATTATCCTTATTATACTTTCAAATGTAAGTATAGATAATATTCAGTTGATACAATAAATTTAATTGAACATGGTATCTAGCATGTAGTATACACAATACAATCATTAAATTCAATGATACTCAACAGATTTTATGTACGAGAGAATTGATATTTCTCACGAACAACAGTAATACAAAAGATGCATCTACTGTATATTTCATATCCTTAATCGTTCATATTATAATAGCAAGCTTTATATTAAAGTTGCAATATCGTGCTTAATTTGCTGAATGTGCAGTATTTTGTTTGGGCATAAATCTTTCAGAGAAAGTGATAAAGAATGCATTCAAAGTGCATAATATAACTAGTATATTTCTTAAATTTTTGTATTCTCAAACAAGAAAACAATAATGATAATACTGAAAGAGCACAATCCCTCAAAACGATCTGCACACCTCGTGTGACTCCCGTGGTTGTAAAAGCATTAATACCTTACGAACACTCATTCTCATGAAAAGATTTTATTCTATTCTTGTATCTGTTCTCATACTTGCCAAACACATTTCAAAAACATGGAATGAAATGGAATAGTTACCTTGTGATAAATATAGAATCAAGAGTTGGAAAGCTTGATTATATTATATTTCCGGACGGAACTTTTATTGTAGTAGTAAACCATCAAAATTCACAATGTAATTTTACTGAATGAGCTCATCCAAATGTTTTCATTATCTCATTAAACCTTTTACATACATATTTCCAATATTTACAATATGTTCATTTACCTAAGGGCACTTTCCAGATTTAATAAAAGTTGCAATTAAGTATTTTTAGAAAAATCACATATGCACACAAATCATCCGGACACTAGATTTAATAAATGCATATGGTCCAGTTTTTTATACAGTACATTCAATTAATAATCAACATATAAGTAAATAATTAATTAATATTTAATTAATGTATAACAGTAATTATATCATTTGCACTGTAACAAGTGAAGATTTGTAACTATTCAAGTTGCTGTACTTTAGAAGTAGCACCCAAGTCTTTAACAGACAGTATCTTACATGACTGATGACTTTCTTGCGTTGGCCATCTTTATCTCAGCCAGGTTATTTGATCCTCAGCTTTTGACTCCTTCACAGGCAGCATAAATAGGCCCAGCCTTTTCTTGAGCCAGCTCCTTTGCTCTCTTAGCAGTTTCCCTTGCTGCCTCCTTTAATCTGAAAAGTAAGGAATGTACTTATATATTATTTTATCAAAATATAAAAAACAACTTTATATGAACTCATTTTTACTCTGGAAAACAAGCAATACAGTATATATTTTTCCTATCTTATGTTTTCATATTTATCTCATTTCAGAATTTTACTTTCTTACCCCACCAAAAATAAAAGTACCCACCATTCAATAATTATAATAACGATATTTTCCAAAGTAAAAATCGCCATATTACTGTACTTCCCTTTTTCCTCTAAAGCTGATGTCTGCCCACTGTTATAAAGTTAAGAGAAGGGGGAGGGAGGGAGGAAGGGGGGAAGTCCTCAAGGAAAATGACAAATAGGAGTGTGGGGAACTCAATATAAGTTTCCAGGTCTCTAAAATAAAGCCAGTGTGTAGATGATGGGCAGGAGAAAACTAACAACCAGAAGCAACATTAGGTACTACAGTATAGCAGTAATCACTTAAAAGGAGGTAAGGAGAGACAACTGGAGGACCAAGATGCAACAAAGGTAGTAGGGCCAAAATAGGAATCGTCATGACTGAAGATGTACTTCATTATCCGCTTACTACAAAATGCCCGAAAGTACTAAGCCGGAGAACACCAAGAAATTTGGTAAAAGGCAAACATACTTCCTATATTCAAGAAAAGAGACAGACTAGAAGCACTAAGCTATAGACCATGTCACAAACATGCATTCCTTGCACAGTACTGGACATGGTAATTAAGGAAGAATGGTAAAATCCTAGAGAGTATAAATTTTGTAATGGATAAATATGGGTATAGAGCAGGAAAATCATTCCTGTGTGCTTGGCTGAGTTCAATGACAAGGCCACCAAGATACAGCAAGGAAGAAAAAGCTTGGTACATTGCATTTTTGTTGTGTTTAAATATATATATATATAAATTTTCCCATATAAAGCTATTGTATAAAATGGAGAGACATGCTGGGAATGCTGGAAAGACATTGAACTAGAAAAGGATGTACCTGACAAACAGGAATCAGAGTGCTACATGAATGCCCATGAATGGGCAGTTTTGAGGACTAGCAAGCAGGATCCCCCAAGGAATAGGCCTAAGTCTCTTGCTGTTCCTAATATATGTGAATGATCCAGCCAAGGGAGAAAATTTGTCACTGTACATGTTTGCAGATGATACAAAGCTATTATCCCTTAAATTGCTCCTGGAGCCCTCAAGAGAAAGACCAACAGTGCTCATGTCACCTGAGGGAGATTTAATGTGTCTCGTAAATATTCTATGTGGATGTCATTCAACTCTAGAGACCTCTGGCAATCATTTACCATATTGAGAAAATATCCTGAAAGCCTAATTGCCTTCCTGGGAATTATTGCAAAAACTGGCACTGTGTCAGTTGCATCACCATCCATTGACTAATGCCAATAGTAGAAACCAAGGTCTTTTATGGACTAGGAAGATATTGGTGATAATCAAACCTATTACAAATAATGTATTTTTTTTTATTTATATATACAAGAGTTCTTACATTCTTGTACAGCCACTAGTATGCGTAGCATTTCGGGCAAGTCCTTAATCCTATGTTCCCTGGAATACGACCCCTGCGAAGAATCGTTTTTACAACCAAGTACCCATTTTACTGTTGAGTTAAACAGAGGCTACAGTTAAGGATTTGCACCCAGTAAATCCTCCCAGGCCAGGATACGAACCCAGGACAAAGCGCTCGCGGAACGCCAGGCGAGCGTCTTACCATGCCACAGAGACTGCGTAAAATGAATTATCAGAATTTGATATTTACAACACTTCTTCACCTCACTATGATCCAACTAAAATAATAATTTTTTTTCTAGACATCCGAAATAAATATTTAACAAGAAAGGAAAACAAAAAATGTTTAGCATTATTTTTTATGCTCACCAGAAAATCAACCTAAAAATGGGTGTGCAGTTTAAGGGTTAACAAACGTGAAAAATAAGGGGGAAAGCAATAAAATACTGCAAGACAAATTGACAAATTCAGGGTTAGGGCAGACACACAGATGCTCACATTCCACCCTAACCAGTACCTGTATAAGGAAATTAAGATGGACAAAAGTGAAAAGAGACTAGATAGAATATACAATGTGGACAAAGACAGCCTTGTTTAGTTGAGAGGCACTATATATGAATAATTTATATACTGTATATAGTATGGTTTTTTACCAGTCAAAGCTGAACTAAGGAATAATGAAATATCCTTTACGCTGATAAAAATAACAGCTTTGCATACAAGATTCACATACCTTTGTTTCCTTTCTTCTAGAGTAAGGTGATGGATACTTGAAGCTTCAATAGAACTGTCAGCAACTGGAAACATTCTATTTAGAGCATAGACAAATCCTGAATTGGATTTATTTATATTTTTTTTGTAGCGCTCTACACCAAATTTCTGTTAACAAGAAAAATACTGTTAAGAACACACAACCCAAAACAAAAATAAAGTTAAATAAAAATTTGAAATGAGCTCTGAAAAACATAGACATTTGCTTATTTTTCAAACCAGTCCAGTCAAGATAACAGACTTCAGTAGACAATCACTTCTATCAAGCATTATAAAATTAAATTACACCAATTGACTTTAAGCAATGACATATATTAGTGTACTGAGCCATTAATATAACTAACTCAAGTCATTTGATAACATTTTGTTGAAGTTGATGGCAATTCTGACATAAATGTAAGAGTACACTAGGGCTGTGAAAGGTCTCCATTGTTGTTCAAGAACTCTATGGATGGGGTCATTTGGGAGGTCACAGAAAGAATACTCTAATGCTTTGAGTTAATCGATTCTGTACTACGTTTCTGAGTAAATCACTCGGTTGCTCCTCCTTAAAACCTTTCCTCTTGTACATCCTCTTATGCTTCTCAATTACTCCTCTCACATTCCACACAACTAAAGAACACTGTTGTGCTTTCTATGGCCCAGGCAGGCACATATCCTAGTTCACTAATTCCCAACCTCTTAATCATCATAGAATCCCTAAAATATTTTATGCTCATTCAAGACTAAAAAATAGTTTGATTACAATTACATATATTTTATAAATATTTATTTTTGTTATTTTCTGTTTGATATACAGTACATATTTCTTGTGGAATTCCAGTTGAAAAATATTGCCTTAGACCCACAGTAGACTTTGTCCTGTGTAGGGAGATATTTATAAAGATAGGTCTTCAGCCCAACCTTTCTACTCCCTTACTACAAGAGATACAAGTCTCTTTGCACTACATATTAGTGAGCAATGGGGGGTTGCCAAATTTCTAATTGAATTCACAATATAAAACTGGCAAAGAAAATGTTAAATACTGCTACTTTTCACCAATCCTCCCTTGCACCCCTAATATTAATGTATTAATTAAAATGGAAAATGTTAAAAAAATTTTGGTGGGTCGCAGAACCTAAATTCTGAGTACAGGTACTGTATATCTGAATCATGGCAAGTGGAGAGTATGCTGATTAGATATTTTTGTAATTATGAAAGTATAGCAAAGGGGGAAACAAAGGAACTATCAGGAGAAAGCGCCAAGCCATTATGACCACATAGCAGGGGTCGCAAGTCTTTAGGCATTAGAAAATAGGGCTGCAAGTCAAAAAAAACTTTAGAAGCACTGCTCTAGGCTCTATAAACAGCAGCACCTTCCTCTCAGGTCCCTCTGCCTATACTACTCTCAGTTATTTATCTACCAGTTCTTCTTCTTTATTTATTGTAGCCAATGAGCTGCCAGTTTACATATTAGATAATAACTTTCTATTCAAATTTAAAAATATATTTTTTGTGTCAGTAAAACTCTTATAATTAAAAATTACCAGTAGGTGACATTTTTTTACTAATTTTATAAAATTAAGCATTGATGAAATCTCTCCAGTACTGTACCTGGATTGCATACCCAAATCCAAATATCTTGGAGTCAATCCATGCTTTTCTTTCAGCTACTGTCCACTGTGAGTTTTCTGGGCTGGGTTTGTATACAACCTTCTCCACACAAGTCATAACCTGATTTTTAAAAAATTACATTAATTTGTTTCACTGCTAAACTATCAACATATTAAAAGATCAAAGTATAAGAGTTTGTTAAAAAAATAAATATCATCACACACAAGCTAACTAATGTGAAAGTGGAAATACTTTTTAAACAAGTAAACCACACATGTTCAGCTATTACTAATGTAGTATACAGCCTTCAACTAACCTTTGTTAACCCCACATTCCTTGTGTATGTACACATTTCTTTCTTTTCTGGATCCACAATAGATTCTTCAATAATACTGACATTTCTAGCACTGATAAGTCGTTCACCCCATTTTGGCATACGATTTGTTTTAGTTAAAATCCGTTTGGAATGGAGTTGATGTCCAATGACTTTTCTAACAATGGTGTCCTCTGACAACACATGGGAGCTGTGGAAATAAAACACAAAAACATACTGATGATCTATTGACGGCTCTAGTTCTCATTACTGTATTGTATTTTAAATAATAGCAATATGTACAAGAATGGAACAACTCTTGTACATATCTCAAAAAAAAAAAAAAAATGTAAATTCTTTCTCAGAATTGCAACTATGCACTTTTATGCAGCACTTAAAATTAGTTGTAACTTTAAGCTTACCAAATCACTGTGCATAATAGATAGCATAATATAGTAAAGTTTCCTACAATACATTATTGAGAACCAGGACCCCGCCCCCATATATTAGACTGAGTTTTCCTGTACAGTCAGCAAATGATTTTGGTCAGGTAAAATTACACTTGGCACTGACACAACAGGGTCTCTAGCATCCCTAGCAAGGTAACATAAGGTGCTTTGGGAGTCACTGAAATAATAGAGGTCCTGTACTTTTGTTCATAAACTCAAACATACATGTTCTCAGGTACAGTATTATTATGGTCGCCACAGGAAACTGATCATCCTATTAGCCACAAACCATGCTGCTACACTCAACTCACTCATCAGATGGTAACACCTCAACTGACCAAAGGTGCTATCAAACTGTAATAAGAGTTTGATAAAACATGTACAGTACTTTATTGTATTTTAAGTATTTATTTAACAATATCCCATCTTCAATTCTACAAGCTATGCAGTGTATGCATGTGGTACTTTTTAAGTGTCTTAAAAAAAAAGATTTTTCAGACTTAAACTGACTGTACTCTAAATTGTACATTTACAAAAATGAAATATATTAAACCATTAAATGGACTTACAACTCTTACCTTTCAGGGTTCGGGTAGCGCTGCCAGATGCCTTGGGCTACTTGATCCCATGAAAATTTTAGAATACTGGCACCTTCGTAAAACTTCATTGCTGAATTTTTTAATATTCTGAAAATTGTACAGGTATATGGATTACTGTATAGAACTTTTAATCTCTGAAGCAAATATTTATAGTTATTTTCCATTAGGACAAAATTAAAAAAAAAATATAAAATGCTGGCAAGTTAACAAGTTGAGATTAGACATTACTGTTGATGACGTTTTGCTGGCTTATCATAGTATAACTAAGCTCTTACAAGTAAAACATCACCTTCAATCATGTGTTCTCTCAATTTTGTGATTCACAGTATAGACTAATTTACACAAATACTAAGCAGAAATTGGATACACTTAGTAGATTTGCTGGCCCACATGATGCCCTGTGAATATAATGGAAAATATCATATGTGTGAAGCATAATTTTTATCATGGTTACCCAAAGACAAAAAAAAAACAAGTCCATAAAATTTGCCTTTTTATGTACAAATAGCCAGGGCAACACACCATGCAATTACTTATATAATTTTTTGCAATTAAAAACTTACCCAAAAGTATGGCTAAGTATTTCTCTACACTATTGGATAAACTAGGGAAGGGAACTATCAGGAGAAAGCACCCAGCCATTACGACTATATAGAACTTGGAAGGGGTATGGATAAGGATTCGGGCCGGGACGGGGAGGAAAGGAATAGAAATTAACATTCGTAATCTTCTAAACGAATAGCCGTGTACAGCCTAGATTACACTACACATGCCAGCATAATACTTAAAAATTACCATTTTATCCCCTGTTTAAATATCAATAACCCTATAATCACGTCAAACAGACTCAAAGCTAAATAACTGAGGAGCATGAACAACGAGGAACTACGAATAAGGAGAACGTTATCAGCAATGGCTACTCCGTGCCCACGAGTACTGTTATATTATGGCTTCCTCCCAACCAATACTATCAGTAGTAAATACTATACTCTGGAAAATAAATATACCCCACCTTTACATACCTTACTGCGTCAGAGGAGCACAATTTGTTAAGTATTTTGTGTGTAATTTATGTTAATACTGGCGTGTGGCAGCCCGAACCCCTTCTATGTTTACATGGCCGATAAGGACATCGTGCACCAGGCGTTTTGTACACATTCTTTCTTACAGACATGAGTATTATAAAAGCAATAAATATTGTTATTTTTTAACTGTTTTATACATGCTTACTACATAAAATGAATCATATATTTTTAACATAACTCATAGGTTACGTTAGGTTGGGATAGATTTTAAATCCGCACAAGATATTTATACAGTTGAATAATTAATTACCTTCTTGTCGAAATCACACGTTCGCTTTATTATTCCTAAGGTTTGGCTAACCCCTTTTTACTGCAGCTTCCCTTTCTTCATCAGTCTGCTGTATGGTAATGTTGTTGATTTGGTAGTTGTGATGAGGATTCTTACGTTCCACATGCAACGTCTTGCATTTTTAGACATTAAAAAGCATGTGCCAGTCTTCTTGTGGAGTTCATGTTCATCTCTTTGTAAGGCCTCAATCTCATTTTCCCTTAATATTTTACCATAAATCTTTCTTGGCCTCATTTGCAAATTTGATGATAAGCTCTTTTTGAAAAAAGGGGTGACATTTGCATATATAGCGCCCGAAACGCTATGCGTACTAGTGGCTTTAGGTATTGTATGTACTAGCTCTATCTTTAAATCCAACATTATGTTTGTAACTCATCATCAATGTATACACCTTTACCTGAAAAAAATCTAATCTAATCTAATCTAATATCTAATCTACGAGAACTATCCCTTGGCCTAGAGATTTTCTGAAAAGGAGTTTCAGTTATAGACATGGTTAATCTGCCAGTTAATTTATGACTTTGGACTGAATTCCGTTCACACTTTAGATCTTTTGAGTCGATTTAGTTTACCAATTACAGTATATCCTTTATAATGTCGCACGTTATGGGAATATTCCGTAATTCGTTCTATAGCTAGTTTTTTATCTACATTGTGTAAGCTTTTATACAGAATAGGGTAGCAGCATATTTCTGTGTATACCTAAGCCTGTTAATAATAATAATAAAAAAACTCCTTCAAACATTTATGTGGGTAATATGATGTTGTCTGATCTCTCTAGTGTGATTACTAATGTAAAGTATTCATGCAGAGTGTTGGCTGCCCTTTTATCGTCTATTATAACTTGGTTAGCCTCATCATTTAAGGATCCTACCGAGTGCACAATGAAATCACATTAACGTGATGTATCATTGATAAATTCAGTAGAAGCTATGAGTACCAAGTGCGCAGGTTCGAATCATCCTCATGGCTCCAACTGATTTTCTCATCCTACAGAGTTTTTGGTTTTGGTTTACTTCTTACATAGGCATAGAACGACTATGGATTTTTCTTAATGTTTTGGGCAAGTTTTAATCGTAGCTTCTTTTGGCTGAGCTGATTTCCTGGATGGATGAATTTAACGCCCTTCTATATATCTCATAATCTATGTTATTTTTCGTGGATTTATACCTTCTCCAGAAATTCCGCTTAGTTTTGTTTTACTGCCTGTGTTTCTATTTAGTTCTCTTTCTCCTTTTTGGCAGTGATGATCTTTTTGAAATTATTCCATGATGCTTCCGTGCCATGATCACCTATTAGCTCCCCCTAGGAAGTGTTTTTCAATTCCTTTCATTCTTTGATAATTTCCTGGTGGGTAATTTAGAAAGTCATCATCCTGGAATTTTACATATATTTTTTTTAAATTGTAATCCATCTTATAATATTGTAATTACACGAAGGGGCGAGCTGCTTCTTCCTTACAGTTTCGATCATGCCTTCTAATGTTTGCCCCCAGATCTAGAATGCTGTTTGGAAGAGAGGCAAAAACAAATGTTTTCAATGTGTGGAGCAAGTGTATTTACCTGAATTTACCAGAGGGCTACAATATCTATAGTGGCCTCAACGAGGACAAGAAGCCGGCGGCTTGCCAAAGGACCCTCATTTCTTTTTATTTTATTGAACTGAATTTTGAAATTCTGCAGTGTTTTTACAGTTACGGCTTCCATGGGTAGGCGGTTTCAAGGGTTTATAAACAAAATTCTGAAGAACAGGATTAAAGTATTCCTGCATTTGACACGCAACGAAACTCCGGCTGTGCTTATGATTTTGTTAATATCTCCGTAGGTACTGCATGTATTGCACAAAACTTTAAACACAGTATTTGTGAACATACCGTATGGATATTTCTTAACGCACTGGTTTGTCCCGTGGGCAAGTTTCATCCTCTGATATTCAAGATAAGTGCGAGGAAATGGGCCACCCTTTCTCTTACAGCAAGTTTGCTGTCCTGTTTTCTAGTTCATCATGTTTAGAACTCTCTCATATTGGAATCTGTCATTTTCGCAAGAATGCAAACAGTCTTCAGGGGAGGAGGTAACCTGGAGGTAACCACTTCAGAAGCACTACGTAATTAGTGCTATTATCCGCTTCCTATGCATCGTTAGGCTAAGTTAAGGTTTATTAGGTAAGGGTTCATTACGTTTGGTTATATTAATATGGTGTATTATTTTCAAACACTTGAAATATAAAATTCGAAAACTATTAACAATGTACTGTACCTTTTTAATTGCTCTTACTTTTATCTGTTAGATTAAGGACCAACCCGAAATACTATGCGGGTTAGTGGTTTTTAAGAATGTAAGAACACCAATGTTATACATTCTCACAGCCCAATGTACCTTTTATATAAATACAATTTTTGAGTATCTCCTAAAATTTTATTCACACAAAACCAAATTCAGACCATTTCAAAGAAAGCGAGTTATGCATAAACTATTTCAAAACGAAGTTTTATTATACACTGAAGTTATGACGAGAATATTCTGTTTAGGACACAGGTTCACTTGCCATCTTACAAGTTGACTACTATTTGAACGGTAATATGCTTTCAGACCATCACAAATATATTGACAAGTACTGTATCCAGTTGGTGTGAGAATGGGTTTTCGTGTCTGGTGGTAATCAATTTACCCTGAGGACGGGCTCATAATATAACTAGTCGTTTTCTACTCCCGTTTTCCCAATGCAGATTACTCTTTTCCATGAAGATAGGGGAATCTGATAAAAGTAATTCATGTTGAAGGATAGTTATATTAAACCTGTTACAGTATAGTTAAGGAGATGTACGAAATGTGAATTCAATATAATTCATTGTGTCGGGGGACAAGCAGCCAATTTATGAAAACAGTTAGGCTTATATGAAAATTAACATTGGCATTATTCAACAGATTTTTTTTAACTGATCTTATCTGTCAAATTAAGGCATTTTCAAACTAATAGAAAACTTGGTACTTTGTTTCTACATTCAGTATTTTTGAACACTTGAAGGCGTTTTATACTGGTTTTATGCTACGGGTCTTATTACCTATGAATCCTCCACGGTTCATGTGTATGTACCTTTGAATAAATATTAATTTACATATGACTTAATATAAGAACAATTGTAACTGCAGAAGGCCTATTGGCCCATTACGAGGCAGCTCCTATTTATAACCACCTAATCTCATTCATAAACATGTCCAACCCACATTTGAAACGATCGAGGGACCCCCCCACCTTCCCGTTACGCGGTAATTTGTTCCACAAATCAACAACCCTGTTACCGAACCAGTATTTACCCAAGTCTTTAACCAGTATTTAAGTCGTGTCTAAATCTAAACTTATCCAATTTATATCCATTGTTTCATGTTCTGTCTTGTGTTGATACTTTTAACACCCAATTAATATTTCCTTTGTTATGTCCATTCACCCACTTGTAAACCTCTATCATGTCACCCCTAACTCTTCGCCTTTCCAGTGAATGCAATTTAAGCTTTGTTAATCTCTTCATATGACAGTTTTCTAATTTGGGGAATTAACTTAGCCATCCTACGCTGGACACGTTTAAGTGAATTTATATCCATTCTATAGTACGGCGACCCAAACTGAACGGCATAATCGAAATGGGGCCTAACCAGAGCAAGATATAGCTGAAGAACACCTAAAATCCCAGATCCTTGTTAACATAAGGAATATTGTTACCATAACTTTAGTGTGCACCACAGTAGATAATTTGCACCTTTAAAACAATATATATGCAGAACTGAAGAATTGACATGGTAAATATGAAACAAAGTTGCATTCATTCTTTTTTATTCAGAAATATTAGTCGAATGCTGAAGTTAGGAGTTAATTACTGAAAGCAAGTATAAAGTACAAGTACAGTATTGCTTGACTTTCAGATGAACTAATTAAAACATCTGCTTGGTTTTGATGTTACTATAATTATCCATATTAATCAAACGAATGGTGAAATAAACAATGGAGAAGCCTCGAGGGATGAAACCAAAACTGCAATTTAAAACGCGAAAATATGTTGTATTAGTGATAATGCGTTTGTTATTGTGACGCTGTATGCGTTGTATTCTTGGTGGTCGGTTTAGGCTGTAAGAGATATTGAAGGTGGAAAATTGAGTGTAAGTGCGAATATGTGAGTGTATGCGGACGTGTATATGCGTGTTAGTGTGAAGTATGAGTGCACACACGGGTGCATATGTGCGTGTCAGGAGTCCAGGAGGCGGCATCATCAACAGGATTCAGGAAGCATCACAAGTCCAGTCGATACCAGGAGGCATCATCAACAGGTTTCAGGAGGCATCATCAACAGATTTCAGGAGGCATCATCAACAGATTTCAGGAGGCATCATCAACAGATTTCAGGAGGCATCATCATGTTCAACAGATGGGGGGCGCTGAACCGAAAGACGTCTGGGGGCCATGATGAGTGGAGGTCCGTTAACAAGAGCACTTGCCCTCACACTGACACTTGCCATCCTCATCACGACAGTTGCATCCCTCGGTACCTGTCAGCAGTAACAGTCTTCAGCCATTTATGTGTGAGAGCATAAAAGAAAATATTGTATCCAGTAGTAGGTTTTAGACATAGTACTACACTAGACAGCAGTGTACATAAGGAATGAGCGAGTTTAAATATAATGTTTACGTGGATTAAGATAAAAGTTATCAGTGGTCAGAAAAATCACCTCCGAAGTATAAACATATATTGCATACATTTTTTTATCGTTTTACATTATATATTTAAACGCTTTCGTATCTTCATAAACATTACAATATCGCAAACATGATAATACAAAGCGAGACAGCTTCGGGAATCTGAATCAGTTTCGAAGAGCCCGAGTTCGATTCCCGCGGCAGGACAGATGTCTGGGTACATTTTTCTTCGGTACGTATGGGTGTTGCCACCAATTGAATATTAAATGAGCACTTTTATAAAACTATTGATGTACCCATATTAATTTTATTAATACTCAACCAATATTAATAAATGTGAAAGCACCCGGCCGAAGCGCAAGGTATAATTAATGTGTTATACTTACAATGTTCTTTCTTGGAGTCCTTTCGAGCACACTCGCAGTCTTTGTTGTCGGTACTACACTTGCCGTCAGCACAGCAGTCGTTGCTGTCACCCTTGCATTCACCTATAAATGTAAAAGCATTAAATTTATGAGATTTGTAACCCCTCCTCCAAGAGTAATATTATCTATATAGCGACTGTGGATACACCTTACAGAACATGGGACGATACACAGCTAAATTGCCTTCATTCATGGTACAAAATCGAGATGTTGTCGGGCTGCATCGCGAGAAGGGCTGCTGGCTCCAAGGGTTCGAGCCAGCAGTTCCAGTCTTGTACTCTGAATTCGAGGAGAATCATGTAGGGTCACACTTCGAAATGCCGTTATAGCAGGTTTTCTATTCCCGGAAAGGTATACTCATATCGAAACAAATAATATTTGCGAAAGTGGAACACTTTCAAACACAGTTTACTTTAATACTGGTTATAGTTTAAGTATAAACTGTCTGCTTGGTCAGTAAATTAGTGTGGTGACCATAATAACCATCCCGCGGTTGATACGTCTTAAAGTTAGTTCCGAAATAAACACTTGAAATACCGTACTTTTACTAGAAAATTATATATATCTAGGACATTAAACATTTCATCATCTGCTATGAAATGTTTAAAAACGGAAGCCAAACTGTTAGGAGGAAATACCATGAAAGTTCCCCGTAGCCTCGCTATGTACATAACCAATTTTAAACTGAAACATAACAGTAATACAAACTTGAAAGTTAAATGAAATAAAGTTAAAATAAAATCTTAAATAGTTTTAATTAGTATAATCGAAACCTATTTCTAATTTAGAATATTATAGATATTTGTTTAATTTTTAGCATATTCTACACCGCTGCCCACTATTGATGGATAGGATGGGTTGGGTGGGGTTGGGGTGCATGATAAGTAAATGTAATTATGAAATTAGCTCATCGCATACAAGTTGTTGAGCTTATAGACTACTATTTCTCGAGCCCAATTCTTGATACAATAATTATGCTGTCTAACTAGTTTATCAAGACTATAACTTACTTCTGTAATTGAATATGTGGTTCAGTTCTTCAGCCCATTGTGTACCTCTGTAACCTATCCATTACTGCCCACATCTAGAATGGGTACGAGGTGCATAATAAATTACCTAAACCAGACTAAATATAGATGTCATTTATCTAATCCAATACAATTGTTGTTGGGTGCACAGAGGTTAACAGCCTGCTAACAATGACACTACAGGAGCCTAAGCTATTAAACTGACGTTTGATCCGACAAAACACCAAAAGTTAAGCGGCAAGTGGTCCAGGAGATGTAACCCATGCCCGCGAAAATACCGTTATTCAAGTGCAATTACGGAGTAACTATATTCACGCACCCGGCCACTGAACGGTACCGGACACTGATGTCATCACACATCTGTTCAGCACCCCCCCCCCTGCAACCGTTATTTGATGTGTTACTTCCTGGGTCGGCGCCTGACAGCTGAGTGGACAGCGCTTCGGATTCTTAGTCCTGAGGTTCCGGGTCCGATCCCCGGTGGAGGTGGAGACAAATGGGCAAAATGTTTCTTTCACCCTGATGCCCCTGTTACCTAGCAGTAAATAGGTACCTGGGAGTTAGAGAGCTGCTACGGGCTGCTTCCTGGGGGGTGTAACAAAAAGGAGGCCTAGTCGAGGACCGGGCCGCGGGGACGCTAAGCCCCAAAATCATCTCAAGATAACGCTAAAACAGGCAACGCACACCCCACACACAAATATATATACATATCGATACACATGACCAAATAACTAATATCTGTTCCCAGGCTTAAATTTAAACAGTATGATAGCCTGTTAATTTCTTAATTACAACCCGTTTCAAAAATCTGCATATTCTACTTTTATTATCGCGTACTATGGTTTGCTTTTTATTAGTGCAGTAAACTACTTAAAAAGAGTCAAGAGAGAACGTAATATTTGGCAGGTAGCACGTTCAAAGGGCTAAGCTGTAATTTTAAAGCGTCCGTATCGTGCAGACTGGTGGTGGAGGAAGTGAGAGAAGAGAAAGAAAGAAAACGAGAAAGGAAGGGACTATGAAGAGAAAGCGCCAAGTCATTAAAACTATATAGCACTTAGAAGGGAGTCAGGATAAGGGTTGGCGATGGGACGTGGGGAAGGGAATGGTGCCCAACCACTTGGACGGTCGGGGATTGAACACCGACCTGCATAAAGCGAGACCGTCGCTCTACCGTCCAGACCATTCTCTTAACGAGAGAGAAACTGAAGAGTGGGATTGTAGCTTTGTGGGAGAGGAAAAGGGAAAAGTGAAGTCATTGGAGAAAAAGAGAGCGAAGAGGACATGGAAAACAAAGAAAAGAGAAGATAAAAGGAAAGAAATAAACGAGAAGAGAAAAGGAATGAAATAAGAGAAAAAGAAGGATGAGAAGAGAGCGCGCGCGAGACAGTCGTAGGCTGGAGTTATCGACCGAATTGTCCATGAAGCAAGATCATAGCGGAAGTTCTGGTCGGAAAATTCTAGTTTGCACATGGTTGAAAATTGCAAATAAAAAGTCTACCAGACCAATAAAAATCAACATCGTGTTTGTACATGGCTAAACAACTTCATTCACACCAGAACTGAATCTACGTAAGCCGGCGGCAGCATATTAGACAAGAACGTAGGGAGGTCGGCTTTATCTTACCTTCACAGCATGGATCAGGCATGATGACGGTGGTGGTGGTGGGGCTTGTATAAGTGAAGTAGGCGGTCTAGTCGGGCAGCACAGATCTCTGACTTGTTCCTGCGGCGTCTGACGGAGGTCTGGCGGCAGCTACTGGAAGGTCTAGCTAGCGCTGCCGGCCCAGATCGGCCATCTTGCTGCAGCGGACACCTGTTGAAAAGACAAAATATTAACCGTACATTTTCGTACTTTAAAATCTCCTATCCTGAGGCTTAAAGGGTTTAAATATTTAGCATTTTGTGCCAGTCATCGCTCTCACTGGGCGGATTTTTACCTGTGCAATATTCAAATGCTTTTAATTTTGAAGGGTGCAACGTGTCTCACGTGTGGCGCGTGCGCAGGCCTACCAGACACACGATTAAATACCAGCTATGAGTCATGCTGAAACCTTAAAATAATCTTTAGTTTTATTTTGTAATCAATGAAGTGTATTTTGACATTATTTCGCATATTCCTGTCACATGAGTTTCATGCACATATTGTTGGGAATACAAGATATACGCAGTTCTCGGAGGGCGTGTATTAACAATGTATGGGTGGAAATATCCAGAAAATCGTATTGTAATTGAATCATAACATATAGCAGCATATTCCCTCGATAAACTGCAAGAATGGTCTGGCCAGTGTATAATAGTTCAACACCATCAAATGAATAATAATCACAATGTTAATAAAATTGTATTTGTAAAATGTATTACAGAGGACCGAGGTTATGGGTCCCTACACTTGCACCAGAGATGGTACCCTCACTATTTTATATTATATTATATTATATTATATTATATTATATATATTATATATATATATATATATGTATAAAATTCCCAGTTAGCTAGTTTACGGGCTCACCATAGCCCGTGCTACATGGACACTTCGTTCTGAGTAGCTAAATCTAAAACAACAAACAACAGTTAGCTAGGTCTCAATGCTTGGAAAACAGGACCCAGGAGCTGAAGCTCGGCCCCTGTTGTTGGTTTAGATTCAGCAACTCGGAACAAAAAATTCCAAGCAGCACGGGCTATGGTGAGCCCGTCGTACGCACCTGGCACAGGTGTGTGACGGCCCCTCTAAGCACAGCTAGTTAATTAGCGATTCTTCGCGGCGGGGAATCGTATTCCAGGGACCATAGGATTAAGGACTTGCCCGAAACGCTACGCGTACTAGTGGCTGTACAAGAATGTAACAACTCTTGTATATATCTAAAAAAAAAAAAAAATTAACAAATGACAGGAGATGCGAATGGCAACAAGAGCAAGAAGCCAGTGTTGCCATACAGCTTTAAGTCAACATCACAATAGGAACAAAAGAACACATTAAACAGAGAATCTTACCCAATGCGCACCTGAGCAGGATAATGTGAAGAGGTATTCACAAGGGTGGCGGAAGTGAGGAGGGCTTTCAGGAATCTCTACAAGGAATTCTTCAGGATATTGAATATTTAATATTTTAAAACCAATTAAAACCAGCGGTCCCAGCACGAAACCCACATTAGAGCAATGTAGGAAAAGCTGAGACAAGTCTCTAGGCAAGTGTTTATGTGTGAGTGCTTCTTGGCGCTGATCGATAGTCGTTCCTTAGCACCACAGGTCGTTACACTCTAGTCAGAAGGTCATCTTCATCACCACCACCACCAGCCCCATCATCACTACCACCACCTTCACCACCATTATCTTCACCCAACATAATAAGACAGTGATGCCATATTTCAAAACAACCTCTATATAAAGTTCCAAAGTTCCAACCACTTGGGTTGGACAGGAGCGCGACGGTCTCGCTTCATGCAGGTCAGCGTTCAATCCCCGACTCTCCAAGTGGTTGGGCACCATTCCTTCCCCCTGTCTCATCCCAAATCCTTACCCTCATCCCTTCCCAGTGCTATATAGTCCTCATGGGTTCCAAGGGGTTGTCATAGCCAGGGGGTGGTAATGGGGAACGAGCTCCCATGACCTATAAAAAGCTCGTACGGCGTGCGTCTCCTTGTTATGGGCTCACCATAGCCCGTGCTACATGGACACTTCGTCCTGAGTAGCTAAATCTTTAACAACAACAACGTGCGTCTCCAATAGCCTCTGACAACCAAGTCTAACTCCTGGCCTGCACGCGTGGCGTAGTCTTTAAGTCCGGCTGAACTACTTTTACTGACAGAAGGGGCGAGGGCGTGCCTCTGGCGCCTTAAAACCAGCTGCTCCGGGTAGATGGAACTCGTTAGCCTGGGAAGGCAGCCTATCTAGGGGAAGGAAAACCCTGATTCTAAACCTCCGCTGCCTTGCGGAATACCCTTCTTTTGGGAAAGGCTTCAGGAGTCAATCTCGAGGAAAACTCCGGAGTTGGAGCCCCTAAGGCAGTTCGTTGTCGATTTCGACCTCGTTCTGCCAGCTCCTGCGACGTTGCTGGAACCATGTGTATTGGCATTTGTCTTTCCACTGGGAAATTTCAGCAACATGGAGAAGGGGGGACCTGCTGCATGGGTAACAGCTTCTCCTCTATATCGACCTACCCAGGCTTTGCGCCCTGGAGAACAACCAGAGCGCAACTTCATAGTCTTCCGAGACTGAAGGTTGCCTACTACTATAGTCTTCATGGCTTGGCCCTTTCTCCTGATAATTCCCTTCTACAAAAAGTACTTATATGTAGTTGTCTGACAACTGAGCAAGGAACTGTCCACCCACTGCCAGTCACTAGCCATAACTCCAGTTCACAATCTACTTGGGAAAAAATCCTCAGGAAAAATTGAGGATCTTTGACAAGCCGCCGGTTTCCTGCTCCCGTCCAGGCCACTAGAGAGACAGTGGCCCTCAGGTAAAATCAGGTAAATAACAGGCTGCGCGTGCGTTGCCGAGGCACGAGGCTCACCATAGCCCGTGCTTCTTGCCCCGCTCCTGTGCCAGGTAAGTTACGGGCTCACCATAGCCCGTGCTACTTGGAACTTGTTCCGAGTAGCTGAATCTATAACAACAACAACGTGCGTTGCCGAGGCAGTGGGAGGTGTTGAGGAGTGAGTCAGCCCACATCTTGCAGAGCTGTCATTAATACTCTCCCAGCGCACCACGGCGGCTCTTAACCTACCAGCTCTTACCTATCATTTGTAGCGAGTAAACTTATACTCGCTCTATTATCTCATCATCTTAATGGCATAACTAATTACACAAGCTATAATCCTATCCCTATTTACAGGTAACGGGTTTTCCACCCTCCTATCTTACTGTGAGGTGTAGTAACCGTATATAAGCCAGCGATTTGAGAATAGCAAACCAGTACAATCTCCAGTCAAGAATGTAGTACTCGGTGTAGGCAGTTCTAATCGACCCAAAACGCTACAGCTTCGACACAGAGCAGGCAGCAGACTACGACCTCATCCAGCTACAACGCTCTCCCACATAGAGCTCTGCGACTCCGGCCACACTCAGCTCTCTGCTCTGCTCCAGGCTTCGTCTCAACGTCTACGACACTGCTGTATCCAGGACTACTAAATAAATATGAAACTCACTAAACACTGTGTATCTAAGCAACCCAACAACGTAACATAATCGTACGTTACACATTGATAAGAGGGTAGTGGTCGAGCTCTTTATTCCTATGTCTCTCTGGAGGCTCCCCCCCCTCTCTCTCCCTCCCTCTCTCTCTCTCTCATGCTCAACCTCCTGCAATAGTTGAATACATGCCTGTGGTCGGGTTCATGTATCGATAATTGCACCTTGCATAAATACTGTATTGCAAAATTATACAAGTTGTATATACTTAACAATTTGTTATCTGTGAAGGACGTTTGCTTGACAGTGTTCCAAGAAAGCCAGCTTGCAGCACTGGAGATTACTGATTATGTGCTGGTGTCCGTATTCAGGAAAGCTTTATTTGGAAAACAAAAACTAAAGCAACGTGTTGAGTAACATGGGCTTGTGTGTGTGTACTCGTCTAGTTGTAATCACCTAATTGTACTGGCAGGGGTTGAGCTTCGGCTCTTTGGTCCTTCCTCTCAACTGACAATCTACTGGTGTACAGGTTCCTGCTGCCCAGTTATGGGCGAGAGGGGAACGGAACACAATAAGATACTTGCTGCACGGGACACAATAATGGCCAGCGTGGTAGAATACAGTTTCGTAGTAACGGAATACAGTAGGTGGCCAAATGTTGGACGGAATTCAGTAATAGAGATGATTGAAAGCACTTTCAGTGATTAACCAATTACGAACTCCTATTTTTGGTGTGTCTCAGTACATGTGTATATACGGGCTGACAAACCAAAAATATCAAAATTTTCCCACGAAATGGTACAGTCTTTTTAATATTAAATACATAAGTTTGTGTTACCAGTTAAGCGTAGTAATACAACCTACGGAAGACTGGAGCTTAATGCTAAACGATAAACGGCCATTACAAACCATGTCGGCAGTACAGTTGGATTCGTTCTAGACTCACAATCGCGAATCTTAGATTCGAATCCCAGGCGGAACAGAAATACCCGTGATGTGTACATGTTAGTTTACTTGTTTGTAAATGTTACACTTTAAATATCTTTCATTTCTTCTTCTCCCATCATACTTTTCACTATGGCTGTTCTAGGCCTATATTCCCTAAACACTTCTTAAAATAAGAAAATCCGTAGAGCCATGATGAGGATTCGAACCTATGCAGTGTTCGAATCCTTTGTTCATGTTACAAATACAAACACAAATATTTATTCAGGTAAAGTACATACATACAAGCTAAGATACAAAAGTTGATGGATTTATAGATAGAGCTAGTACATACAATGCCTAAAGCCTAACTTAATACTAACTTAGATTAAAGTATAAATTGTGTTTATACATTAATTTATGATTTATGATGGTACTTACTATTTGGTGGAAAGTACCAATATATTCTTTTGTATGTACAATATGGAATTTTGATTTATTTCAGCCTGCATAGAGTGCCGCTGTTTGTATGCAAGCTGTGACCTTGTAAATGAGGATTTCCTGGGAGGGGTTGTATATATGCAAGTTGACATAACTTTTATAAAACAAAATCTTCGGTTTTACTTAAAATATTTGTCTGGTAGAAGTTTTACATATAGATCGCGTTTCTGTCTTTCTTCTGACTAATAAATAATTTTGGCTTAATAAGTTATCAAGATGTTTTCAACAATATTTTCTTTCGGCGTTCGTCTTTTCCAACATGGCGACCCTTATGGAAACGCGATACTTGGGTTAACCCATCCCATAGTTTGTCAGTTTCCATTATGGTTCAGAACATTAATACAGTAAAACAGAATTATATATTAAACTATGGCATTTCACTCGACAAAACATACACTGGACAAGCCAATGAAACACCAAAATGAAATTGAAATTGAAACTGAAATAAGTTTATTGAGTTAAAATACACAAAAAGGGATGAGGTAGCTCAAGCTATTCTCACCCCGTTCAGTACATCGTGTTAATATATACATATACACACATCACAAACATATTACCAAACATTCTGAGAGATAAACATATACATTTTCTACCAAAATGATGTATTCCGAGGCCTAGCAGTGTGACGTCACAGTGACGTAGGAGTTTGTTTTGACGGACTCAGGGTTGCCAGATTGGGCTACAAGTAGCGAATTGGGCTACTTTTGAGAGCCCCGCGCTCCCAAATTTTTAATTTTGCTACTTGCTACTTTTTGGGCTAATTTAAAAGCAAGTTGAGCTAATTTGGGCTATTAATGTTAGGCAACTCAATGATGCTTATTTATAGTCAGATGCAACACAAACAAGCACCCCGCGATAGCAGCCATAGACTGACAATTTAAGGTTAGACAACTGGACGGGGTCTGGTTACACAACTGGTCGAGCTTCGGTTACACAACTGGTCGGGCTCCGGTTAAATAACTGGTCGGGCTCCGGTTACATAACTGGTCGGGCTCCGGTTAAATAACTGGTCGGGCTCCGGGGGTGTCACTTAGGCTGTGGGTTGTGCATGGTCAGGCTTCGGTTCGTGCATAGTTGTGCTTCAGCGGTTGTTTGTGTACTAGTGCTCCAGGTTTGTTTGCTAAGGCTCTATGTTTATATGTTTGCTAAAAATCTAGGTTTCTTTTTTTTGTATATAGTTCAATTGTTTGCTATGGGTCAATAGTTGGTGTCTAGGGCAAGTGGAGGATTTTAGGTAGGGCTAATGAGATTTTTGTTTGGTCGAGCTAGGAATGGAGCTTGGTTGTGCTCTGGGACTGTTTAGCTTTGTGGGGGTTGGATGAGATATATACTTGCTAGGCTTAAGGTTAGACAACGGGACGGGGTCTGGTTACACAACTGGTCGGGCTCCGGTTAAATAACTGGTTGGGCTCCGGTTAAATAACTGGTCGGGCTCCGGTTAATTAACTGGTCGGGCTCCGGGGGTGTCACTTAGGCTGTGGGTTGTGCATGGTCAGGCTTCTGTTCGTGCATGGTTGTGCTTCAGCGGTTGTTTGTGTACTAGTGCTCCAAGTTTGTTTGCTAAGGCTCTATGTTTATATGTTTGCTAGAAATCCAGGTTTCTTTTTTTGTATATAGTTCAATTGTTTGGTATGTGTCAATAGTTGGTGTCTAGGGCAAGTGGAGGATTTTAGGTAGGGCTAATGAGATTTTTGTTTGGTCGAGCTAGGAATGGAGCTTGGTTGTGCTCTGGGACTGTTTAGCTTTGTGGGGGTTGGATGAGATGTATACTTGCTAGGCTTAAGGTTAGACAACTGGACGGGGTCTGGTTTCACAACTGGTCGGGCTCCGGTTAAATAACCGGTCGGGCTCCGGGGGAGTCACTTAGGCTGTGGGTTGTGCATGGTCAGGCTTCGGTTCGTGCATGGTTGTGCTTCAGCGGTTCTTTGTGTACTAGTGCTCCAGGTTTGTTTGCTAAGGCTCTATAATAAATAATAAATAAATAAATGTTTATTCAGGTAAAATACATACAAGAGGTTATATAAAAATTGATAGATTTATAGATAGAGCTTGTACGCACAATGCCTAAATCCACTATTACGCAAAGCGTTTCGGGCAGCAAAAACATTAAAGATTAAAACTTAATACTAATTGAGATTAAAGTATAAAGTGTGTTGAGAACAAATAAAAATAAAAAAAAAGAGGGGAACATGGCAGAAAAAGCAGCACAAATACAATTAGGTCGACAAACAGCGTTGTTTAAAAAAACAGACATGGGTTGACAATATAGGGGTAAGGTAGGTTACAGGGAATTTATTAGGTAGTGCTTAGTTTTTATCTTAAACTGGTTGAGAGAGGTATAGTCTTTAACATGATTGGGAAGGTCATTCCACATTCTGGGTCCCTTGATTTGTAGAGCTCCGTTTATATGTGTGAACTATGTTTATAAGTTTGCTTGAAATCCGGGTTTCTTTTTTTGTATGTGTGTGTGCAGAAATAATATGAAGAAAACAATTAACATCATGTAGTGTACTCTATATATCAAAATATATTACTTTGAAACCCGTATCAGTCACTCAACAAAAAATTGGGCTACTCTTATTACAAAGTCGCTACTTTTTGACCGTCAGCTCGCTTTGTATCTGGCAACGCTGTTGACGGTCACTTTTGAACGTGAAGTCAGTCAACAAAGGTGGCGGCAGCGTCCTACACATGTAATCATGCCCTGCGAGATTATTACTCTACAGCTGGGCCAGTGTGGCAATCAGAGTGAGTTGTGATGGCAATCAAGGTGTATTTTACTGTATTAGGGAATGCAGGAGTGTATGTTATGGAATGTTTGTGCATTGAGTGGAGTGTGCGTACCGTATTTGATTTGATTTTACCCCCCTTTTCCATCCCTTACATGCCACGCATTTTTATAATGGTTCATCAGGCATTTAAATCAATTTTTATACATTGGAAATATATGGTTTAATGAAACATTTATTTCCGTGGGTAACGGAAATAACGTGGTTTATTTGGGAGATTATTGTCAAATCTTACACAAGTCGGTTCGATAAAGCTTGTTTTCAGCTTGTTAAAACCATACATATATCACACGAATAGGATGTACTAGCTTAGGCTGTGTTAGGTTTGTTAGAGTAGGTTAGGTTTGGGTAAGGCTTGTTTAAAATCCTTTGCCAAACACACTTGTGTACCATGTAAATTGTATCTGTTTGAGGACGAAGGATTTCATAACCACACCTAAATGAGGTACATATTTAGTTGAAATTTGGTGTTTGGTGGTGGTTGGGGGTTCTAGGTTTGGCTGGGTTAGGGTTTGGTGTAGTTTGGTTGCTATTTATGAATGTTAATGCTGTATGTACTTCATTGCCATTTGGAGACTTTAGGGCCCCTGGAGTGTATAAAATGCTTTCCCAGTTGTCAGGGATAGGAAGCCTGATATTGAGGTTCCCATGGACCTATTTATTTCAAAATGTACAGGGGGCATCAGGTGTAAGGAAATGTCTCCCCTTTGCCTGGGGCTAACTTGAGTTCAGTTGGTTGTGTTCCAACTAATTAATATAATTATGCCATGATGAGAATTTGAACCTTAGCATGAACAAAGTATTCGAACACTGCATAGGTTCGAATCTTCATCATGGCTCTACAGATTTTCTCATATTAAGAAGTGTTTAGGGAATATAGGCCTAGAACCGCCATAGTGAAAAGTATGATGGGAGAAGAAATGAAAGATGTTTAAAGTGTAACATTTACAATCAAGTAAACAAACATGTACACATCATAGGCTAATGCACTATGCCCCAGTAAATATATACAGTACATTAATAACTTAAAAGACAAACATACTTCACCCTATTACTGAACATTTAATTTAACAACTGCTGGACGTAAAAATATTAATCCTTATTTCATAAGCTAAAGTTATACAGTATATGTATAACTTTCATCCACCAAGTGCCAGAGTGTTCTGATTCACAACAGAATGGCAGGCTCTCACATTTCTTTTGGAGGCTCATACATTAGCTTCCCTTCCATTCTGTTCTCTAGCAACACTTCTAAAGACAGTATACAAACTAGCTCATACAAGGATGTTTGTCACTTGCATAATTATCACATTTTATTCGTGATTCGAACCCGTAATTCTTGATTGTGAGTCTAGGATGAATCCGACTGTACTACCGGGACCCTCTGTATATGAGATATACGAGTACAGTATTACTTCCACATCTAACTATTTTTGCTTAATGGTCATTACCTAGCTTAACATGAATAAATGGTCCTGTCTCAACAATAGGCTGACATCAGGTATCCAAATTGCCGATTGTTGACAGAAATACAGAAATAGATCAGAAATAGAAATAGATCTCTATGTTGGTTCTTTTCTCCATTCTTAACAGGGTTTAGAAATTACAGTATTTTGAATATTTTACGAATGAATAATAGATAGGGTATTTGAGTTAATTTGAGGGTAGGAGAAAGGCCAACAAAATATGTAGAAATGGCAAGTGAGTTTGCAAGATGGCAGTGGTTGAATTCTACATGAAATGGTAAAAAATGTTAGTGAAATTAGTCTGATTGCACATTTCACATTTTAAATTGCAACTTTAGGGACATATTTTCTGTTTTGTCTAGTTATATGAATTATATATAAATCTTGTATTTCTCTTTTTGATTTATTCATGTCCCCTCCTCCCCCATGAAAGTGGGAAATGAGAGAGATGATGATAAGTTATATGATTTAGATTTTTTTACTATACCCTACAATAATTTTCAGTTGGATTTGAGTTTTGGAAGAAACTCTGCAGTGAACATGGACTCTCCCCGGAAGGAAGACTGGAAGATTTTGCTACAGATGGCACTGACCGTAAAGATGTCTTCTTCTACCAAGCAGATGATGACCATTATATTCCTCGCTCAGTGCTGCTCGACTTAGAGCCTCGTGTCATCCACTCTATCATGAACTCGCCATACGCTAAGGTCAGAACAGCATGAAAGATTTTTACCTTAATGCTCATATAATTAACTAAAACAAAATATGTTGTGTATATTATGTTAATATCAAAGTATAATGGCTGCAATAATTATTTGTTTTATCCTTTAATATTACTAAAGTAATTGGAGAATAAATTGCAATTACTTGGATGAAAATAAATAACCCAACCTACGCACATGAAAATAAAGTTATGTGACAACTTTCCAATATTTTTTTATTTTCACTGATGCTCAGTAATAAGAAGCATTTCATTATATTCAATGCTGGCTTTTTTCCACTGAAATATGTTGTACTGTATACTGTTAATGTTCTGTTATTTGACAATAAATTGCAAAACAATTATTTACAAATTTTATTGTTTACAGCTATATAACCCAGAGAATATCTACATGTCAAAACAAGGTGGAGGAGCTGGAAATAATTGGGCTGCAGGTTACAGCCAGGGTGAACGTATATATGAAGAAGTTTTTGACATCATTGATCGTGAAGCTGATGGCTCTGATAGCCTTGAGGGATTTGTACTTTGCCACAGTATTGCCGGAGGAACAGGGTCAGGATTAGGCTCCTACATTCTTGAGAGACTGAATGATCGGTTCCCAAAGAAATTGGTGCAGACCTATTCAGTCTTTCCAAACCAAGATGAAATCAGGTTTGTATGTGATTTGTGCTAATATATTGTAATTGTCATACATGTTACAGGTCTATGAATTGTTTGATCAGGATAATCAAGTCTACCTTAACTGCTTGTTCCACTTCTATGATAAAAGATTATTTTGCAGTTTGTATATATATTTAAATTGTGATTTAACATTTACCCCTTGGAGTAACAAAATGCATTGCCTATGTAATCGAATTTGTCCATGAATTTGATGTAAAGGTATTGTCATTAAATATTTTACAGTATTTTACCAAACACCTGCTGCTTCACTGCATACTTGCTTTGCACTGTCGGTAATGTAAACACTAATTTTAGTGCTAAAAGAATTTGTATTATTTTAGTATGAGAACCGAACAATATGAGATCTTGTACGTGTATACAGGGTATTACCTGTGAGAATATTATTAATCTTGCCCAAATAGCAGATTTACAAGTAATTAATTTTTGTATTTTTTTATCAGTGATGTGGTGGTGCAGCCTTATAACTCCCTATTGACATTGAAGCGCCTCACACAGAGTGCAGATTGTGTTGTTGTGCTCGACAACACTGCATTAAACCGCATTGCCACTGATCGTCTTCATCTTTCCAACCCTTCATTTTCCCAGATCAATTCCCTTGTGTCAAACATAATGTCTGTCTCCACAGCAACATTAAGGTTAGTCTTTGTTGTTCATCTCAAAATTTGTAAATAGGTGACTGTTTATCCTGTGTGAAAATAAGATTGATAGATGTAATATTTATCCATTGTATGGCCTGGATAGCAATAGCTCTTAAGCATTTTATTGCAAATTTTAGTTGCAACTTCATGTAAGTGATACAGTATGAGATATATTGCTTTGTCTATAATAACTGGATGTAGAATTATTTCTCAATATGCATCTTTGTCATATTTCACTGCTTAGGATGCTATAATTGCATGTCTTCATATTTTTGTAATAACAATGGTAATAATGTGAGCACTTGTTAATTAGTAATGATAAACCTGAGTTATTAAGAGTATTGAAAACAAATATTTGTAGGTTTTGAGTTATTAAAATTAGTAAAATTATAAATGAAATCATGAAATGGGCTAATTATAGGAATTTGAATTTGTATGCGCTTGTCTGTGTTGTTATTTCTAGTTCGACTAGTTTCATAGAACAGTACTGTGATAATGTGTCATTGGAAGCCATTATGATTATGAAGCTTGGGATAATTGGGGGGACAGGAAGCCAGAATGTATTCATACATGTTTGGCTTTTTATAAAGGTTCCCCCCCCCCCCCAAGACTTAATTACTGCTCAAGACCTAATTACCCTGCCTAGGATGCAACCCTACAACAAGATGACTAACTCCTGAGTACCTACATACTGCTAGGGGAATAGGTGCATTAGGTGAAAGGAAATGTGCCCAACTATATCTGTCCCGCTGGGACTCGAACCTGGCATTCTCAGTTGTGTGTCGAATGTTTTACTGGAACCCTAATGTGTCCTGGTAGTACAGTGGCTAATGAAGCAAAGCAGTTATTAATAAGAAGGCTCAAGTATTTTAGATTTAAGAGCTTTTGGGGCAAGTCAGTGAGTAAAATTTCCATATTCCTAGTTGTAGCTGCACATAATATTGAAATGTGTAGTATATTACTTATGTAAAATAAGAAGTTGGTGCAGAGTGTGAAGGGAGAATATCTTTTGCATTTAAGCATCTTTTGTCTTGTTTAGAATAGTATAAATAAACCTAGTTATTAGCAAGAAATTTAGAATTAGTATGGTAATTTAACAATTTATATTCTTGTATTATAGAACAAATTGAATAATATATTTGTATTAACAAATCTCATTACAGGTATCCATCGTACATGAATAATGATCTTATAGGGCTTATCGCCCCGCTTATTCCAACTCCAAGACTTCACTTCCTAATGACAGGCTATACACCCCTCACAACTGATCAAGAGGTATGTTTTATTTACATATTGATCATTGCTACCTGTTTCCCACTCGCATGGGGTAGGAAGGCATCAGTGCAGAAAAAATGAGAGCAATATAGAAATACATAAAGATGTACATTTGCCATATCTTTCACACTAAGTTCTGTACTGCATCTCATCATGTAAATTCAATATTGTCAATCTTTTGCAATACAGTACTGTACATCTACAGGAGCTCCTTACTGCTTCATACAACCAAGTGTATATATTCTTAGTTCTGCTTCCTCACGTACTTTGTCCTACACCTTCCTCTCCTCCTTCCATCAGATTTGTTAATCTACTCTTCTTGACCATTATTCAATGTGACTAACCATCTAATTAATATTATTTCTAATATTAATATTAACATTTATTATCTTAATCTTGATGATAAAACTATTAAAAGTACTGTATATTTCATTATGCACATCTAGTATTTACATATCGATACGATTTTTCACTGCAAATATTCTTATTTGTGCTTAATATTAAGCTGTTTTGTTAGCTAATAACTGTAAATGACACTTGAATCTTTGCTGTCTATGGAGAGAGCAGTACTGTAGTAGTAGTCAGTTGTATTATATGAAAGGAAAACTATTGTTTTCAAATGTCATAAGCTTATAATAGCTGCATACTTTTTATAATTGGCCAAATTCCCATTTTGTTTCTTAAATTTCTTTTTTAATGTAAATATGTACAGCATATATATTTCTAATGAATGTTTATGTAAGCATATAATATCTCTTAATCCAAATTTTTTTTTATAAAATTTACTTCAGGGTAGGTATAAACTAACTAGATCACCACTTATTAAATTAAGAGCACACAAAATAAGCAAGGAAGTGTTATACTGTATTCCAAAAAATCTTAATCTTGTGAACTATTGGTTTTATAATAGCTTAGAAATATATAGTGAAGAAAAGGAAATATTGTCAATGAAAACTTGGATTAGGTTACTATCCAGGAGGCCAGGAGCACATGTTAATATCAAGCATTTCAAAGTAGACACCAAATACACCGATAATAGGATAATTTAATAGTGTCGTTAGATTGTTTGGATGTAACAAATGCGTAGGGTTGATTACATCCAAAGACTGTAAAATAAATGCGTAGCGCTTTATGCATTTATTTTATGAGCTTTGCGAGGAACGTGTAGGCATGTTGGGGCCACATGGGCATGGTGGGGAACACAGTTGCACACAGAGCATGGGCATGTGAGTGGAAGGCAGGGAGCACAGGATGAGCAAGAGTGGAGAGTGCAAGGGAGGAGGAGGGGAGAGGGCAGGCAAGTCTCTAATATTCAAGGAAAAGATGCACAGGGAAACACTACCTGTGTAAAGATGAGGGCATATTGGGCAGGACACAGGGGACCTGCATCTAACCGAGAGGAATATTTTTTGCAGTACTTTGATTCTATGTTAGCAAGAATAGGGGACATCATCTAAGTTGGACTATGTCCTGTTAATTTGTCTTACAGAAGACAATGGCTAAGCTAAATGCCTTCCTGGGTACTTGACTGATATGATTCTTACCTTAGAATAGCATATCTACATACCATGACAGTGTGTTGCCAACGTAACAGCTAATACCACTTGTGCTAATCTTTGGATTAATGTGTGCAAAATAGTTGTAAACAGAAACAAAATTTAAAATATGATTGGTCATGGAAAAATAACATAGTAGTAGCACGAAAGTTGGTTGGTTGTAAACAGCAATAAGAAAATATGGAATGATAAACTGACCCATGTTTTACTATGAGTTATACAGTCGGTTATATTTGTCCTGTATAGATACACAGTACCAATTTAGTCTGGAATAAATTAAAATTCATAAATTCTTTTGACTATACAGTACGTTAAGTAAATTAGTTAAAATAAAATTGCCAATTGATGTCCATTCTGAGTTTGCCTTTTCCATACTAATGTTAATGTTTATATTAATGTTTCATAACCTCTATCCCAGGTTGCATCTGTGAGAAAGACAACTGTACTAGATGTGATGCGCCGTCTTCTGCAGCCTAAAAATATGATGGTGTCAACCGCTCTGGACCGCAATACACAACATTGTTTCATCTCCATTCTTAATATCATTCAGGTAAAGCATCAAACAAAAGATTTTAGTAAAGTTGAATATTTAAAATATTTAAAATGGGTAAGTACAGCAAACAAATATTTAATTTTGTTTATTTAGTACTGTAAAAGAAGAATAGATTGAAAAACTACTTTGTGTTTTAATTTTCATATACAAATGTGTTATTTGGCTTTTATATTATTACACTTCATTTTTCTGGTGCTTTGGGGAAGACTGGCATTCCAGTCAACAGGTGTAACTGATATTATTCTTAAATTGGTACTCATTATAACCATGATAACTAAAGACAGATGGTTATCAATTAAATTGATTAAAAAGGATAGGGCACACATCAATGACTGATGCATTTCACAAAATCTAAAGTCCAAATTAAATAATGTACAGTAGTGCCAAATTTGTATTTTATTATAACTGTACTGTACTAGCACTTATAATTCTGGAGACATACAGTATTTTGTTCATGTTTCTGTGAAAAATATTTTTCAGGGTGAAGTGGATCCAACACAAGTGCACAAATCTTTGCAACGTATAAGGGAAAGAAAAATGGCACAGTTCATCCCATGGGGACCTGCTTCTATCCAGGTTGCTCTGTCAAAGAAATCTCCATACATCCAGTCTGCACACAGAGTATCTGGGCTAATGCTGGCAAACCACACAAACATTTCCTCTGTAAGTATTCTTTATGCTACAGTATCAACCATTAATAGCATAGTTTTTTTTCCTGTAGTTACCTCTAATTAGAAACATGTATTACCTTTTCAGCGGCTTTCCCCAATTCCAAATGGTAGTTAATTATATATTTACATTAGGAATTTTGGATGAAACATTAATATTATGTTAAGTAAAGAAGCTATGTACAACATGACCTTGTAAATCTAGCTGTCAGTATTACAGAAACTTATGGATGCTGGAAAAATTTGCTGCTATAAAATGTTTACAGATTTGCTATACTATTTTTACCATACATGAAGAAATATGGACAGATTTGACATTGTTAAAACTTCCCAATCATATGTTTTATATATGTATATATATAATTTTATAATGCATGTTTATACAGTACAGTATATCTAAATACTGTACACAATTGCATTTTTAATGATTTATACTAAAAATATAAAATATAATTTTGCCTTATCTGGAAAACTAGCTTCCATCTATGTAAACTCTTAAGAGTTTCTGGGAGGAGTGTGTCTGTGGCTCCCTGAAGCTAACTCTCCGAGATGGTTCCCCACCTACGAGTCACTTCAGTTGCAGGAGTCCCATTTTGCCTACCAGGGACTAGAGCCAGAACCTGGCCCACCTAACAGAGGCACAGAAACAGGGAACTATTATTGTCACCCTTGCTGGAAAAGCAGCCAGCAGAAAGTCAGCAAAGCTTTACACACAGCTGCAAGATTCATAGAAAATGATGCATCAAAACAGCCAAATGACTGCAAACTATTCAGATGAAATGAAAGAATCACTTGAAAATATAGCTAATAGTCACCACCAGGCAGCCCAGAGCCCAGGGGTCACAGCTATCTTCAATGACCAGTCCTGCGGCAAAAGATTGACTCGGGAGCACTCTACAAGTGTTTCCTGAGCCAATCTTTTGCAATAGGTCCCACTGCTTCTCAGCCAAATGCTGGGCATGCTTTGTACTTTTGTCCTTGTGGGGGTCATTTGCTTGTGTACTGTTTTTTCTTTTAATATTTGCTTCACATGTGAGTGTACATTCTGGAAAGTTTGCCAGATCACGTTTTAAGTAAGTAGAGTTGTTATCTTAAGTCAGATTATGTTCGTTAAGAAGGCAAGAGTGTTTAACACTAAAAAGTGAAGAGTCAACAGCAAGAAAGTCAGGGCTAAGATTCATGTTGGGCATGTTATGTATCAGAGATGGCATCTCTGTAGAAGCAGGAAAGATTATTTTAAATAAAGACCAATCTATAGGATTTAAGAGTCCCTAACATGACGGAAAGCATGAAGAAACATCGACGTTTCATTATTTTCTGATGTGTGGTTTGTCATATCTTCAGCCACGTTATTGTGACTCTACATGCTAATTATGATGTTCACAACGTGAGGCCAACATCCAGAGTACTCGGCAACCGTTTCATGCATCTACCCATCATGAAACCTCATGCTCCTTTAAAAAATAACCTTGTGGAAATTGATTCATATTCAGGATTTAGTGACAGGAATGTGATAATAGCAGTTGTGTGTGTGTGGGGGGGGGGAATGTTTGCGATATATGTAGTATATTGGAAGCGATTACTTGCATCAGGTGAAGTTTGCTGGCATCATCTGCTCATATTTTGTAGCTCTATGCTGTGTTTTCATTTCATTAGAACTGCTTATTGGTTCATTATGGTGCATAAAAATGTTAATAGATTGATAGGATGTGTCTATAGTGCAATAACAGCTAAAACTGTATGTTTTATTGTGCAAGGAATATATTTTAACTCAAATTAGGTCTTGACATGAATACTGTACAGTATATCTGCGCGTACCAATATTCTATATGATCCGTAATGTAAATATTATTGACAGTTCAATGCATCATTACACTTGAGAAAATCATGGTAAAAAACATTACAATACAAAGAAAATATGATATATTCAATGCATGTTGTTATAAGTTTATGTAAACAATGCAAGACTATCTTCTTGAGGTTATCTTGAAATGATTTCGGGGCATAGCGTCCCCTGGTCCTCGACCAGGCCTCCGATTTGTTATACATCCCCAGGAAGCAGCTCATAGCAGCTGTCTAACTCTAAAGGTACCTATTTACTGCTAGGTGAACAGGTGCATCAGGGAGAAAGAAACTGCCCATTTGTTTCCGCCTCCGCCGGGGATCAAACCCGGAACCGTAGCACTATGAATCCCAAGCACTGTCCACTGAGCTGTCAGACTAGGCTGAACTCTGATAACCTGTCCTAAGATACCTTGCAATACAACTTCTAAGTTTATTACACTAAATAATTTAGTGGTTCATAATTGTGCATAAAAATGTAGGTAGTTATATAACGTGTGTGTATAAAGTGTAATAACAGCAAAATCACCGTTTCATAGGTTTAAGAACATAATATAGTACCGTTACTAATATGCACAAAATATTTTTGAGCATACTGATGTTCCACACATTTTACTATAAAAATTTATCAAATTACACACTTCTGAGTAATAATCCAGCAAAAAAAAAAAAAAAAACATTGGAATACTGTAATTATATAAAAATTATATTTGATGTAAATCCTGCCATACATACAACCCATATGGAAAGTGTTGCCGAGTGAGTACTCGCTCAACGCCCATAATTGCTAAACTTCAGTGGTGTCAAAGTCAGTCATATACAATTTATATTTTTCATTTCCTATGATAAAGGAATGCATTTCAACAATATTAACTTTTTTTTTATTTTCTTCATGCATATCATAGGAGGGTTCCATGTAGAGGGTGTGCAGTACCAGGGTTAACCATTTTGCCTGCCTCTTATTTCTTTCTTTCGGGTGTTGCCGCTTGTGTTGTTTGGGCTGCTACTGTCTGTCATTCTTTTGATGGATATTGTGTTTTGGGACTATGAAGGTGACGATAATAGTTCCACACACTCTCCAGCTCTGCGAGGAAGCCAGGTTGTGGCTCTGCTTCCTGGTAGGCCAAACAGGACTCCTGCAACTGATGTGACCCAATAGTGGGGAGCCATCTCGGCCAGATGGCTTCAAGTAGTCATCAGGGCTCTACCAGAAAGAGGCAGTTCATTACATTCAATGCTGGTTTTTTTCTTGTTTGGGAAATCTGACATATCTAATCTTGCATGCTTTTAGAAATATGATATGCCATAAAAATGAAGGTGCTCTATATTATTCTCTATATTAAATTTTCAGCTGTTCCAGCGAACTCTACAACAATATGACAAACTACGGAAGAGAGAGGCTTTCTTGGAGCAGTTCAGAAAAGAAAACATATTTGCAGAAAATTTGGACGAGTTGGATTCCTCTCGTGAAGTTGTACAGCAGCTGGTAGATGAATATGTGGCAGCTACAAGCAAAGATTATCTGTCTTGGGGTCTCAGTACAGCATCCACGGAATCTTAGAATTAATAAATTTTGGTATTTCGACAAATGTATATTGATTTTTATTTTTTATTTTGCAAGGCTTTATTATAAAATCTGCTGAAATTAGAAAGCAAGCCATATGCAAAATACAAATGTCGAAGTAGCTTGCTAGTGTAATGGGCTGCCTTTGGATGCAGCACCTGTGTTTTGGCTCCATACAACTGCCCATGGTTGGTTGGTTGCTCCACCCTTAGTTCTATTCTGATGGTAGCGAGTGTTGGTTCCACGACTAATAGAACTAATAGACTAGAACTCCGTTACTAATGGGATCTAGTAGCATGACACTATCAGATAGCAGCTTCAGGAAGCCACCAGGGCTCATCCAGAAATTTTAGTCTCATTACATTTAATACTGTTTAAATAAAAACAATCAATCTTCCATTTTGGGGAACCAAAAGCTATTGGATATCTTCCTGCTCAGCCATTTCTTAGCTAGTTGTGTGTTTCATTGTTAGTGCAAAGTAGAAGTAACAAAAGATCTAGAGTTGATTTTAGGTGTGTTATATGCACTTTGAATTTGTTGTCGTTGTCTCTGAGTATTCGGACTAAAGTGTCAATGCCAGTAAAACATGCCATCATGATGATGGAAATTCTAAATATATCAGACATATTGCCAAAAAAGCAAGTGTCAATCAACAGTTTGGTACATTTTTAAATGGAGCAAAAAAATGTACTGGTGAGCTCAGCAATAGCAAACAACCTGATAGACCACCAAAGTGGAAGTTTGATCAATATTTTCCATTGTGAAGGAAAATGCATTGCTAACCCAGTGCAAGAGCACTTGGTGTAGGCTAGTTATGAGTGTACAGTACTGCATAGTGAGTCTTAGCATAAATGTCCAAGGGATATGCACACCATCCACTGCTACTAAAATCAAATTTTACTTTTTCTTAAATATAAAGCTATGAAGACCCCCTTAGTCATGTAACTAATGTAATAGGGCAGTCGGCTCACAACAGATTAGACCAGAGTTTAATTTCCAAGCAGGGTTATACTTTTTGGGCAGACTTCTTTAAATCTGATGCCTCAGTCCACAGAGTTGACACTTGTGGGTTGCATTCTCGGGAAGGTAACCTCAATAAGTCTAATGGCTTCGTGTCCACAACAATAGGAAATCATTTTGGATATAACTGAAGACTAGTATCTCTATAGTTCTGGAAATGTGAAGACAATTGGTGCATTGTAAATGAAAATATGAATTCAGTTGACACCTTAAATAACATTTTCCATTTCAGTATTTACACGAAAATTTGTAAGACATCAAGGATATGTATTTTTTTTTTATTTCAATTTCAATAGTTAAGTTGATTAGTTATAAATGCTGTTATATACACTGGACAGTAAATCCCTGAACCTGAATGTAAGCATGTAAATATAATCTTCTAGAAAGTTAGAATAAGCAGGGGTAGGATACTACCACCCAGCCATATTAACTGTTCATATGTGTACAAGATAGATTTGATAGAATTTTAAAGTTATAGTATCATCCTTCAATCATCTCTGCATAATCATTAAAATAATCTTATTTCCTTAAATCTTTGCCAAGATTATTTTTAAGGTTTGCCCAGAACACTAAGCATACTTAGTGGGCTTGTAAATAATTAACACTTGAATATAACCTATGTATATTTCTGCTAATAAATGATTTTCTATATATATATATTTGTTTATAGAATAAGTGTTGGGGCATCTGGCAGTGCCTGGGTCATGTTCAGGCCTCTCACACACACATCGTCCCCATCTTTCCCCCATCCCCGCACTATGTCCTCCAACACAGTTTCCCTGTTGCTTCCCACACACCCTCAGCATTTATACCCCCATACATACCTTTCCAGGTGTCTTCCTACCCCCCCCCCCCAACCCCACACCCTCCCCATACTCCCTCACAGACAACCTCTTCATTTTCCCCACACAACCTCCCCCATCTCTGTCCATATATGCACCCAGTCTCCACCCATATACACACACCTGATCTTCCCCAAACACATACCCTCTGAAAAAACCTACACCACACCTTCCCCTCTCACCACATCACTAACCATTTTCTCTACACATTCTTGATTACTGCAAAAATATACACATCCTCCCCATCCCTGCCCACACCCAATCTCTTGGTCTTTTCCCCCCACACAGCCCTCTCCATCTCCACCCCACACATACTCTCCCAATATCCCCCCCATCACTGTAACCATTTTCACTATTGCACACTATCATCACATTACACATCACGGTAGTCAAAAGGTTGTGCCCAGAAAGTAAATCTATCATCTAAACATTAGTTTTGCATGTCAGTATCTGAATACACTTACATTTAAATTAATGCTAAACTGTAGACATTTGGTTGCACATTTCATATCCACTGACCTTATGAAGATGGGTTGCAAAGGCAGAGCTCCGGCCTAGTGGGACCAATCTTGGAGTTCAAGGTAAGGTAAGGTAAGGTAATCAAAAGAAGGCACCAAACCGAGAAGGCTATGTAGCACCATCAAAGTGCGAAATAATCAGAGGGCGCTAAATATCACCAAGAATGCCAATACGAGAACAAAAACGCATAAGGCGAACGATATCAAAAGTATCCGATTCACCCGTTCTATCGAAGGACAAGTGACCGCGAGGAACGGTCGGAAAGCAAGACACATGCTCGTCCTGGAAGTCAGGACATTCAACAAGGATATGCACAACTGTAAGAGGGACAATGCAATTCAGAAAATAAGGTAAGGTAAGTGTTGTGGTTACTTAAAGAATGCATGGGGGTCAATCCCAATCCCTTCCTATCACACTTCATACAATCACAGTTCACCATAAAAAGTTGCGCAAGGCTAACCACAACCGTCTGACCTCCCACCTTCGACACATTCTCTTGTAGATATAAATAGAAAACAAACCAACTAGATACTATTTTTTTTCAGCTGGCAAGTATATAGACATCCCTTACTCGTATGATAACAAAATAAATAAGACTGGCTTATAAAACACAAGTAGGCCTACTTAGTATCGCCAGCAAAATACTTTTAAAAGCTAAACAGGTTAAAACAGAAAATACTCGTCCTGAATGGTTTAGAATTTGACTGGATTAGCTTTTTCAGTAGAATGTCTGAAGGATCATCTGTGTCTATATGACTGTCGAGACCACTTCAGATTAAGGAACGACAAAGAATTGTCAAGATGTAAAGCGAAGATATCAGTGTAGGTAGTTTTACAATGACCTGATTTCAAATATGAACGAGTAGATAATTGCATAGATAAAAACATTGTTGATAATTGTTGTTGAATGTTTAGCACTTAATTCTGATTAAATTAAGAATATGAATGTGTGTAATATGTATAACAAACTTGGGGTAGCTGGATAGTATTTGGGTAATATGTCATCCTGGATAAAGTATATGGATATTTCTCTAAAGTTGATAAATTGTCTCCAAGTTATTGGATATTTATTCAGTTTTAATTAGTTTTGCTGACAGATTACCTTTGGTTAGATTCACTTTGAGACAGGCATGTTAGGCTTTTATTGAGGTTCCCCCCCTTCCAAGGTCGAACTCCTGACCTTCCCCAGGATGCAATTCCACAACAGTTGACTAACTCCGGGATACGTGTTTACCTCTAGATGAACAGAGGGTCAGAGGTATTAGGTGATATGAAAAATGCCCAACCATTTCTGTCCCGTCCAGGATTCGAACCTGGGATTCAAGATTTGAGTCGCGAGCGAACCCAGTTGTACTACAGAGACCAGCAGGTGATGGAAATTCCCAGAGGTACTTGTAGCAGTGTAAACCTAGTAGTAATGACGTCTAGGCAAGTTTGCCGACTTGATTGGATGACCACTAGACATGTGGCTCTTTCAGCATTGCAATACAATAAATTTCACCGTCCCAGATCTATTAAATTATGTTGAAGTTCTCTGTGTGCTCATAGGCAATTCAAGAGGGTAATTAACTCCCTCTTTAATTAATCGCATAGGCTTTGGCCAACTCGTCAGCTTTATCAACATTCGTAGGCACAAACACAACGTATTGGTCCTAATTGTTACAATTTACACGAAGGTGTTAGCTTGTTTGAACGTTGTAGCAACGTCGTATGATTGGCAGGATATGGGATGGGATTCACAGGAAATAGACCGATTCATTAATAAATATATTTGTAACATGTTTTAGTGTTGGAGGTCAGTAGAGCAGGGTTGGAGGATGGAAGAGGGTGTAACACAAGATCGTTAGAGCAATGCTAGGAGTGTGTTTAGGTCGGCATAGCAGTGTTGCCGGGTGTTAGAGGTGTTACTAGTAATAACTTCCCCGCCACCGCTTACAGGGAGGGTCAGGTCGGCCCGAGAGACTGTGGCAATTATCGACGACAAGGATACATGAGCAGCCTTGAAACACTGTCGCTGGGAGGCGCTGTGTTTCTTTGTCCGTCTGTCTAACCCGCCTTTTTAAAAGACAGGGACTCTTAATTTTTTTTTTAGATCTGTGATGTTCTAAGAGTGTGAATGATAGTTAATAAGAATAAAACAGCAAACTGAGTAGTGGGGGAAGAATGTATAAGGGACACCATCCACATAGAATGTGGACAGTGTCGACTCAAATTAAAAAAAAAAAATTAATTCACGATTCAAATTGAATTCAACAAAGTTGTTTACCTAAAGAGTCTATAAGCGTTATCAACTGCTAAATAGCTTTCACTTCCTATGCTTAAATCAAAACTCATTACCAGATCACTAACTGTGGAAGAACTTAATTAAAACAAAAAAGACGGATAAGAAAGAAAACATGTGAGGGAAATTTGTGTTGGACGTCTCTGCCGGTTGACGGGCTCACATAAACCTGAAGGAGCTTAACGACACGCTGTAATGACCACACTAACGACCTCCATCTTCCCTTCTGCTTGTTATACAGTCTCCACAGGTCTTCTTCCCCGTCTCATGCTACTACTGAGACCTCTCGCACACCATTTACCACCATCTCGCACTATCATTATTTGGCACTACAGTAATTGCTGCAGCCGTCGTAAGTCGAGAATGGCAGCCCATGCCGGGAAGCGCCTATATGGCTGCTGTGCTCTTAACCGCAGATACGGGAGTGTCACTAAATAGTTGATGACCAAACCACACATCAGAAAATGGAGAAACTACAATATTTCGGTCCGACCTGGATCATTATCACGTTGTGGACGGACCGAAACGTTGTCGTTTCTCCATTTTCTGATATGTGGTTTAGTCATCACATCCTTAACCACGTTATTGTGACTCTCCGTCTCCATAAATAGCTGACCATATTGCTGATCTACCCAATGTATACATCAGTCCAGATTGAATGACTGATGAAGGTTAAGCCTCCCCAAGAGGTGGCACGGGCATGAATAGCCCGTAAGGGGGCTCTTCTGGACAATATACTTGCTTAAATCTCTAATCAAGTGTTCCGGGTACCATGCATGCGTTTAAGTCAATGGTGTGACAAAGATGTGCACATTACCGTCAGATTGACCTCCGTTTGGGTCTTTAATTTTGGCTAACTACTTCATGTAAGAGTGACTAGGAAACCCATATTTGCGAGCACTTGGCATCTAGGAGAGTACTGCAAGTGATGTGCTGTCGTACGCGACATCTTTCACATGGGAGAGATTTTCATAATTTTCCACTCCTTATATAATGTCTGATGAACATATTTAGTGTCTCCATGACATGGCCATCAGTTTTGTTTTCTAGGTTTCTAGGGTAACAGTAATAAATTGCTAATATCGTGTAGCGAGTAGATTATCCCAATAATATACTCGCTCCAAATGCATTGTTAATATTCCTGTCAACCTTTGGAGATGAATGAGGTGAGGTGTTGCCCGAGCAACTCGGTAAGGTGTTGCCCGAGCATATAAGCAGCAGAATAGCAAATATTAACTAGTCTACTTTCAAGTGTGGTCTAGAGCAGACACTTGCGAGATACTGTACCGACGCTCAGTGCGCTCAACTCACACCAAAGTATCACCTGTGTACTTCTGTATATTCGACCAAATATATATATTATCTTAGTGTTTATGTTTATTGTCACCATACTTTACGTAACAATGGAACCGTTACAATCGTCACATTGGTAAAATAATTACAATTGTATTTAAAATATATAGAACAAGATAGTGGTTAATCTGTCGTAATTACACATAATGTGTATTTAAAAAACACTATTTTTTTTATTTATTTATACAAAAGTTTTTACATTCTCGTACAGCCACTAGCAAGCATAGCGTTTCGGACAGGTCCTTAATCCTAATTTTCCCCGGAATACGACCCGTCAAATCATTTAACAACCAGGTACCCATCCACCGTTGATTGAACCGAGGCTTCAGTTAAGGATTGGTGCCCAGTAAATCCATCCCGGCCAGGATGCGAACCCACGCCCAAGCGCTTACGAAACGCCAGGCAGTGTGTTACCACCTCCCCAAGGGAACTGCTTGTTACACGCAAAGTTATTCACTAATACACAAAGCGTTAAGAAAGCCATTGATGCATTTTGTTTTCTTTCTTTTCTCCTACGTATTTTCGCGCTTTAGTACTTTAGATGTCCTGTTGGCTACATGGATGTAAACATTGTTAGGATGACAACTCGATTTGCGGTTTCTATCCAGTTTCCCTTGTCCTAGCCAGGCGGCGCTAGTCGAATTTAGTCATTAATTATGCACCCCATACCCATCCCGTGGGCTGTGGTGAAAAGGGGTTAGATGCACATAATGAATTCAGAAATTGAATCCCAAACTTAATTCAGTTAAGCAAGTATATAATTATAAATTTTGCATATGAGAAAAACAGTAGAAGCCATGATTAAGATTTGAATCCTTATCATGGTTTCTACTAATTTTCTCATTGATGCATCACGTTAACGCGTTTTCTTTGTGCACTAAGATTTATGGTAAAGTAGAAGTGACAATGATAACGAGAGCTTACGAAGATATTATATCTATTATTATAACTACATGAACTCCACAAGTGGTCGGAAGACTGGCAAATGCTTTTTAATATCGAAAAATGCAAGACCATGCATGTAGGGCATAACAATTAATGCGTATTACTACTACCAAACCTACAACATTGCCTTGCAGTTTCTCCTCCGTGTGCCTTTCAGCCCCTCCTCCTCCTTTCCATGTGCCTATCAGCTCCTCCTCCTCCGTGTCCGTAAATCCTTCAGTGCCTCTGGTCGCCACCTTCTTAGCTCTATGAATTTTACAAGAGGCTGGCTGAGTATTCCCATCTGAGCGTCCTGTTCTAACATGTCTCCTTTATTCCCCTCTTCCTCGTTTCCTTGCCCATTTTACTTCTTACTTTAAAGATTTGTATGTTGATTAGTTTATACAACTGCTCTATCACTAACGGGTTATCGTCCACCTCTTGCAATTCTTCGTCCTAATTTAGTTTTTCCTTGGTCGAATTCTTATCTTTAAACTATTTTGATGAACAGGGTAAAGCTTTCTTTAACATTGATGATAATCTATATTAAATAAAGTTTCCTTTCATAATTTTTCTTATATCGTTAGTAATTTAATAGTTTTTATATTGTTTATCTCATTGTCTCATGTTATTGGCAATTCTTCGTGCATCGCTTTCTTTTACTCTTTTGTCTTGTAGTTCCTCTTAAAGCAGCCCGTCCTCTCGAGTTATCACAACCTCACTAAAAGGATTTACTAAATTGCCCGAATCTAACTTAACCGAGGACCCTCGCATAGAAAACGGAACAGCCAGTCAATTTTGCGAACAGCAACAAATTATAGTGAAACATATTTTAACCGTTGGGGATTTATACGTCAAAATACAATGTACAGTTCGAGGGAACTGGTTGCTTAAGAGTCATTGTACCTGTTGTCTTGGTATAATGCATATACAGCATGATGCATGTATTGTCTACGTCTTGCCATGTATTCTGAGAATGCAATAATCGTCTTTCCTCGTTTCCCGAGGCTATACAGTAATGCTGGCTTAGTGCTCTCTCCTCGTAATTTCTATTCTATTCCTTTCCGGGTTTACAAAATAATTGGAAAAGGATTATAAAATAATAAAAATAACAGCCTCTCGATCCAAACTATGGGTTGTTGGTATATGGAAAACCCATGGCGTTATGAAGCTACTAGTCACCCGTTTTTAAATGTTGCCGGTCACGTGTATTTTGCTGTTAGCTGTTTATTATCTTATCCTCACCAATATTTATAATACATTTGTTTCTTACCTTTCTATCCTAAGTCTTAAAGGATCACGTACAGCACCTTCCTGCTCTGTGCTGGTCAACGGTCTTGCACATCAGCCTCCTGTAATTTTTTTCAATAAATCTTCATATAGCGATTCGGTATATATATATATATATATATATATATATATATATATATATATATATATATATATATATATATATATATATATATATATATATATATATTTTACAGGAACTTCTTTTCCACAGCTCATAAAACAGAGGAAAGGGTCCTGAAAGATATTGTTAATAGAAACGTTATCCCTACAGACAAAAATCAGAGGATACAACTGACGATTTACTATAAAACCAGAAAAACGGCCAGCCTACTCATGAGAAACTCTCCAGACACAAAACAGAACGCTTTAAAAGAGACTAATGTCGTCTATGCCTTCAAATGCCCACTTGGGGACTGTAAGCTCCAAAAAACCCAGTATATAGGCAAGACAACAACATCTCTTTCTAGGCATTTAACGATGCATAAGCAACAGGGCTCCATTAAGGAACATATAATCTCTTCCCATAACCAAACCATCGCCAGAGAAATCCTAGTAAACAACACAGAAATCATCGATAGATACAGCGATAGCAGGCGGCTTGACGTTTGCGAGGCACTACACATCAAGAAGTCAACACCAGCAATCAACAGCCAATTATTGCACAACTATATTCTACCCACCTCAAGACTCCGCTCCAATATAGAAGCATCAAGAAATATGGACCAATAGGCTTTCTACAAACACTTCTATTCAATACCCATTGTTTCTGTTCTGTCTTGTGTTGATACTTTTAATACCCTATTAATATCCCCTCCTGTTCTGTCTTGTGTTAATGCCACATCACCCTTACCACCTCACTCAAATGTAGATATAAAATCAGAGATACGTTCTAATCAGTTGTGTATTTGTGAAGTCTTTGAAAATGTAATAAGTTTTACGAAACGCGCCCGTGTCGCGTCAGACTAGAAATAAAAATGAATTTTGGAGAAATGATTTTTGATTTACCTCCAACAGTGAAGCGTAATGTACGAAAGATTGAGAAAATTCGTGTTAGAATTATTAATCTTACTTTTTCGGTCATATTTAATAATATATGTCTACAGGAAAGACTGCTACCAAAATATACTAATATATATATATATATATATATATATATATATATATATATATATATATATATATATATATATTAATGCATTCAATGTTGGTGTACATTTAGTTTAAATAAGCCGCCTAATATTAACGATTAAATCTACGATGACAATAATAATGACAATATTGATGAAACATAATGATTACAATATATTGTAATAAGAATAAATATAACAGTCGCGTCAGTAACAATTACCGGCAAGCAACGTAGGATCACACAAGAGCTGAGAGCAAATTTTCAAGATAACATCTTTAGTTTAGAGGGTTTCACAGTGCAGGAGTTGCTCAGTAAATCACAAGAAGCCAGGAAGTGGCAGGGAAGGTTGCATGTATCACCGGGTATGGGATAACTTAGGCCATCACCCTTGTGAAGAGTCTGGTGCGCCTGCAGCCAAGAGCCGGGAACGCTACGTGATGTATATGGGCTTATTATATCAAACAAGAGCGATATTTGGGTTTATATCAAAACATTAAGTATGACCCCTAACGTCACGGGTAATTGTTGTCCAAAACCTAGCCTGGGTGTACTCTCTTGAGCGCAGGCGGGAGAGATATATAATAATTTACACGTAGAAAATATTAAGAGGGGATGGTCCCAAACCTGCACAGAGAAATAACATCACATGAGACCAGGAGGCATGGCAGGATGTGCAGAATACCCCCGTTGAACAGTAGAGGTGCAATAGGTACTCTGAGAGAGAACTCTATCAACACGATGGGCTCAGCATAGCCCGTGCTGCTTGGGACTTTTTGTTCCAGGTAGCAAATCTTTAACATCATCATCATCTATCAACATCAGAAGCCCGAGACTGTTCAACACGCTTCCACTACACATAAGGGGCATAACTGGCCGACCCCTCTCAGTGTTCAAGAGAGAACTAGATAAGCACCTCCAAAGGATACCTGATCAATCAGGCTGTGATTCATACGTCAGGCTGCGAGCAGCCGCGTCCAACAGCCTGGTTGACCAGTCCAGCAACGAGGAAGCCTGGTCGACGATCGGGCCGCGGGGACGTTGAGTTCCGAAATCATCGCAAGGTAATCGCGATGGCGATCCAGTTTTCCTAAGTACATCCTATACTATAGTAACGTCTGACACCCAGAATGCCGCAGTATCAGGGGCTTTCAGGTTCACCATTTTTCAGTGAAATTCTGCCCTTACATGGAAACACACTTAATGCTTTGACACTTTCTGAAACAACAATAATGTCTGATGCAGTGTATTGGTAGAGCGTAATGTCGTAAGAGATCATGTAAATTAACTAGTATGCAAGTCCAACGGACATGTGCCTGGAGAAGAAGAAATAACCGACATTTTACAACACTACATAATTTTAATTTCAAATTAAAAACTTTATTACTAAATAGCTGAACATTTATAATAGAATTTTTAAAGTTAATAATGCACTTGAAATTTTGTTTGTGTTTTTATACGAGAAAATGTCGTTCTCGACTCAAAATCAGAGATCCTGGGTTCGAGTCCCGGGCGGGGTAAAAATGGTTGGGAACGTTTCCTTTCACCTAGTGCGTCTGTTCGTCAGGCAGTAAATAGGTAACCGGGAGTTACAGTTACAGCCCCGCTCCTGTGCCAGGTAAGTGCACTACGGGCTCACCATAGCCCGTGCTACTTGCAACTTTTGTTCTGAGTAGCTAAATCGAAAACAACAACAGCATGGGGAAGGTCAGTAGGTTGAACTTGGAGGGGGTGGGGGGACCTACATTATTGCAATTATATTATGAATAATATAATAGTTATATTACATTAGGAATTATTATAATTATATACTCCAATGCCCATTGTGACAGCGCTCAATACAAGGCAAACACAGTGTAAACAATAGCAACTTACAATTCTACCGACATTCACAGATCAGCCCGTCCTCTGGAGTTGTCACCATGGCACAAAAATGGTGTACAAAATTGCCCGAACCCAACATAACCGAGAACCTCCGCATAGAAAATGCGACAGCCCGTTAATTTTGCGAGCAGCTATGATTTATACGTAAACATGCGATGAAACTATTCGAGAGGACGGTACATATACGACAAATTTATTCGTATATGTAACCGCTATTTTGTTTAATATAATACTGAATAATGAGAATATTTAAATTTGAATTTTAAACTAAATGGGGTACCCAGTCATGGCCAGTTTCTCTTCTCCCATTTCTTCCCCCTCTCCCACAATCTCACCCTTCTCTCAGCTTTCTCTTCCTTCATCACCCCTTCCCTCGCCTCTTATCACCCTCCCTCTCCACTTTTCTCTTTCCCTCTCTTCAAGCATTCCCCCCTTCCACCGTCTTCTCTGGCTATACCATCTCTTGCGCCCCCCCCCTAAAAAAAAACCAGTTTGATAATTGAAAGTGTTAAACAAGTCTACGGACAATACAATAAATTTTTCGGGTGGGGGAAGAGATGCCGATATTTCTAAAAGTGAGGCCCATTCACTCCCATACTCCACTCCCATACTCCATACTCCATACACTCCCATACTCCATATGTTTCATGTGTGAAAATTGAGAAGGCTAGGCTCCCAAGTATCTAGCCTCCAGCCTCGGACAGACACACACACTTTTATAGACAGATTTATTTGGCATTTATTTTATGCCTACAATTACTAAGATACTGACTTCAAATTTGTAATATGTACAATCGAGAAAGCTGAAAGTGTTTGCTTTCACCGCATCATCATCGTTCAGCTTCATATCTAATATACTGGAGTATGTAGCCAAAACAACAAACATTATATTACTGTCCAAATTCTTACGAACTGCACTGTATAAATATATATGATGGTGGCCCTGTCTACAATCATATACTATGCTTCTATGGATATGAACTTTATAGGTGGATATGAACTTTATAGGTGGCGTCAGGGGGAGTAGAGGTTATAGTACGTTATCTGCATATGATGTGCAGAAAATAGCATATAGCACGTCAGAGTATGGTGCATCGTCTCTGTTGGGAATACAGTTATTATAGTAATTTACGGAACGAGGCACTTTTGTGAGAGTTATGTTGCAGGTTACACGAGAATCTGTTAGGTTTTCTCAGTGGCAAAGACCCGTGAACCCTTTGGTCAGTAGAGCACTGGGAATTTCCTGTGACCTGCAGCATAATGGCGAGTGGTGGGGTATTATTTAGTTTCTACTGATTTTTTATTACACTTGGATTGGTTCTTAAAAGCATACACGAACACTGTTATGTCAGTGAGGTAAAGGAGAAGTATTGCCAGACTTATGGCTTTACTGATCAAATAATTACAGTACAGTTACATCCTGCAATAACACAAGCCATATAATATACAATACTTATGTTCAGTTTAAGCACTGTCTATTCACTATAACAATAAGCAAACTGCACATGACTAAAGCTAGAACAAATAGAAATTAAACTAAAAGTTAACATTCCACCAACCTGCACACACGCACGACACAGCTGATCTGACGACACAAACAAAACAGTCAAGCGAGCATCCATCTGGTACAATAATATATATAACACTTTTACTACAGTCAGCAACACTGCAGCTGGAGACGGGCACCTTCACATATCGTGAGCGATCAACCGACAGGAAAGAGGAACAAGCCAAAATTTCACCTGGTTAAGAATCGAACTAGTTAACAATCTTCCAACCCAACCTGAGGCTATGCTCATCCCTGCAGCGGCCGATCCAAAACACGCCGTCATCCATTTTAACGTACTGTGTATTCAGAATCGATATTTTCTTATGTGTGAATTAAGATTATTATATATTAGAATTTTGTGTATGACTAGGCATAAGTTAGGTGTTTAAGTTTTGTTGGCAATTATTTACAGATGTGCGATTCAAACAGAGGACGTCAGCGAAACTGTTCGAAGGTCATCAGTTGCAAATAGTGTGATTTGCTGCTGCTGCTGTTGTTTAAGATTCAGTTACTCGGAACAAAACGTTTCAAGTAGCACGGGCTATGGTGAGCCCGTAGTGGACTTACCTGGCACAGGAGCGGGGCTGTAACTTGTGTGATTTACAGTTGTAAATCTTTTTATACATAAACAGGAGGTTTGGTGGCTGGATTAATGAGCGTTTGCATTATTTGTGATGAACGCCAATCTTCAATTATTAATAGGCCTAAGAGGATTATCATAGAAATTGTAACGCATCTTTTATCACCATCCAGATAAATTGTAATTCACTGCGATCATGAGGCACTTAAACGTTTTAAAGGGCAAAAACAGCTAACTGGCGCTGGCTGGAGATCTGACATGTGTAGGAGGGAACAGAACGTGGGAGGGACGGAGCTGTAAGTGGAAGAGGATTGGTGTGGGAGGATGCGGTTGTTGTTGTTTTAGATTTAGCTACGCGGAACAAATAGTTCCAAGTAGCACGGCCTATAGTGAGCCCGTAGTGGACTTTAGCTGGCGTAGGACCGGGGCTGTAACTGAGGATGTGGTGTGGTAGCAACGCTTGAGAGTAAAAGATCAGTGCTTGTTGTAGTGTGTGGGAGAGTGTGTTGTAGTGCGTGGGAGAGAGGGAGTTGTAGGTGAGGCGAGCGTAGCGCGCGGGAGGAAAGAGTGCAACTTTTAGCTTGAGGTCGACCGGACATCGAAGACCGATACAGGTTTCACCGATACTATTTAACAAAATCTCGCAGAAAAACTACTCATCACCACATATACCACTCACATAAACGAGTTTCATCGTCTATACGAACGTCAAATGACGTCAACACAAAATAAATAAATTAACCAAACCAGTAGTGAATACTTTTTATGCAAATGAGAGATTAGTATACAAGGACTTTGGATTTAAATGGCAAGACGTAAGTACGAGCACATACGACAAAGCCTCACTTCAAATGTGAAGGAGAAACACCCGGTATACAATATCAGTGGACCACTGCAGTCATATCCATTGTGACTTTATCGGGCTTTTAGGCACGCAGGAAAACCCTCAAACTTTTGTACTTTTAAAGAGGAACCAGTAGACAGGCGTGCATGCGCAATAGGGGTTTACTGTAGGCTCGGAGAGCTTTGAAAATGTTCACTATAGGCGTGGAGAGCTTTGCAAGCGCTCATTATAGGCGTGGCGAGCTTTGCAAGCGCTCATTATAGGCGTGGCGAGCTTTGCAAGCGCTCATTATAGGCGTGGCGAGCTTTGCAAGCGCTCATTATAGGCGTGGCGAGTTTTGAAAAGGCTCATTGTAGGCGTGGGTGAGTATTCTTGGGATCATTGTTAGCGTGGGGACAGTATTTTTGGAACTACTATAGGCATAGGTGAGCTTTTCTTGGATCAAAGTAGGCGTGGGATGACTGCAGGCGTAGTCTAGCTTCGAATGGGCTCATGGGAGAAGCCTAACTTGGTGGGGGTTTCACCGTTGATCGTGGCAGTTTGGTGGTGGTGGGGGGAGTGATGGTGGTGTTGGGGGGGGGGTGGTGGTGTTGGGGGGGGGTTGGGGTGGTGGTGTTGGGGGGGGGTTGGGGTGGTGGTGTTGCGGGGGGGGGGTTGGGGTGGTGGTGGTGGGGGGGGGGGTTATGGTCGTGGTTATGGTGGTGGTTGGGGTGGTGGTTGGGGTGGTGGTGGGGGGGTTATGGTGGTGGTTGGGGTGGTGGTGGTGGGGGGTGATGGTGGTGGGGCTCATTCTTGGTGGTGTGTCGTGTTTAGGTCCATCTTGTAGTCAATACGTAACCTCGCCAGGGACGTTACCCCACTTCCTTCTCCAGTAGCAGGACGACGACCACGGGAATAGATCACACTTGATAGTACGTATTCTGTTATCCGTATCGGCTTCTGGAATGTAATTGTATTCTTCCGATATGAAAAAGTAGACATATCCAAACTTTGCTGCTGGACTTCTCAGTGAAGTCCTACCCAGGACGCTCAGTGAAAGTCCTCTGCAATGCACATCTTTCTCAACGTTCGTTTAAAGATATTGACCTGTGCATGTGTGGGACAGTATAGTAGGGTATATTGTATGACTTTCTAGTGAATCTTCCCTTAATCATTTCCTCATGCGAATAATATATTATTTTGCTTAGCTAAAACATTTTCGTAGACCCATTTTCCACGTCCATGCTGCTCTCCTTTTTAACCTTTGGATGCGAGTCTTCAAATGTGAACTTTGTCCCTCCATTTCAAAACACTTTCCCATTTGGTCTCTGTCGACGACCTTTTTTCCACTCGAGCGGCTGGAACCTGACCTCCTGCACCGCTTTTGTATTTTATCTAACAACCTTGGACCCTCCATAAATTTTTAAGTGGAGTGGCAGCCTTATTCGAAAAGCTTCCTTCATGTTTCGCTTCACAAGTCCAACATTAAATTTTACTTCTGTGCTTTTACCAATTCACTAATGTTAATACTTGCGGTCAGTGGCATTATCCACAGAAAGTTGAGAAGGGTGTTCTTGGTTCTCTGTATCTGCGACGATGAATACAGACTTCCATTCTTTTCTCTTATCCAAACCTTTCATTTCAGAATTACCATTTGTTTCCCCTAATGCCATTCATCCGATTGAAGAAAAAATTTTCTCGAACACTTCCTTCATCACTGAGCTTGTCCTCAAGCAAGCTAATACAGTACTTGTATTTTTCGAGACACTTTCCCTCCTCCTGTTTTCTGTACATTAATGCAGACATTATCATCAGCTTGAATTTTCTATATTCTGGATAAAAGCATTTTTACAACAGCTCTTATGCGAGAACGAAGGTGATGGTCTTCCTGCTGGTATTGTGAATTTTCTACTGGTATCGTATGCTTCCTACTGGTATCACGTGAACCATATTCTTCGACGAAGGATATTGCGGTAACCTTAGACTGGTCTGCCATTAACTTACCCTTCCTGTTGCAAGTCTTGACAACAGTCTCCCTGATGTCACACTGAATAACATCAGTAATATTAAAAATTACGTTAACAAATTATAAATATGGCACAGCTGTATCATTCCGCTGATGGATGAATCCTCCAGCGGGAGGACGACTCCAGGCAGCGCCAAGCCCTCGTCCTCTTACAAATTACGTCCCTTTTCGCTCGTATGCACTACGGCCAAAAATCGTCGTATTGGAATTTTCATTTTTTTAATTAATTTTCCAAATGAAATGGACCCAAAGAAGCAAGCTTTGGGTCCTCTGGTAGGTGAGGAGAGCAGGAAATTTTCCTAAGGTTTCAAAACGTCATGAAAACCGTTAATTTCTAGTGTCCTTTCCTAACCTAACAGACTAAGCCAGAGGACCCAAAACAGAAAACGGAACAGTACGTCAATTTTGTGAGCCAATTTCATTTCATATAACGTCCATTTTTTACCTTAGTGCGCATACGAGCGAAAAACGACGTAATTAGTAGGAGAACGAGTTGGCTGAGTAATTATCAAACGAAAGCGCCAAGCCGGGAAGAGTGAGTGGCGCCGTCAGTGTCGTGAGGTGTTCATATAACTCAGGATACCATTACCAGAACTAAAGGACATAAGGTGAGCAACATTGAAGGAGCCAACGTAGATGCTATCTAGCCACCCGTCCAAAAAATGTCAAAATCAACGGGGTTAACCTGGATTGAGTTAACGAGGCGTATATCTTCCGTAATTCCTCTGAAATTCAACTCTTTAGAAGTTGATATGTGGAAATAGAGCAATGTTTTTCAACAGGTGTTCCGCAAGGCTCCACAGGTCTGCCGCGGGTGTTTGAGAGGGAAAATGTAACAGGAGTAATAAGAAATATGAAACTATTTTTAACCATTTTTTGAAATACACGATCAACGTTATTTAAAAAAAATATTAGAATTTTAGCAATTAAATTTGTAAACACAATCTAAATACCCGTTTTTATATATACGAAGTTTCTCCCTAAAATAATTATGGCGTGTCTTAATAATTCCAATACCTTGTTCAGTGTAGAGTTGAAAAAGGTGGAAAACTACGATTCAAGACTGTTTAATAGGAAAATAATCTTGAGCAAACTGACATTATTATAGCAATTTATAAAGTTTTCAGTAATTTAAACATGAAAATTATGGAAATCCACCATAGCCAAGTTACTAGCACTGGCAATATAGTTTGGTTCCCCTTAACCGGTTGAAGGGGGTGACGTCGATAAGTCTGGGCTAACTATCAACTCTTCTGAAGATGCAACTCAAAACAGTGCTCTAACTCCCGGGAAACTATTTATTGTCAAATAAACAGATAAACACCAGGTGAAAAGAAACTTGTCAAAACGTCTCTGTCCTGCTGCATGAATTCAATCCAGGACCTATCAGTTGTTACAAGACTACACCGACTACTGCGCTACCTAAAATAGTTAAAATTCAGCAGTCTCCAAATAAAATTATTTTTAGGCATTTAAAGCCTCCTAAATAAATAAATCACAATTATTTTAATGGTCTGTTTTATTAGTAGCGTGAAGGACTAATTATAATTTTCTCACAAACATGCAGGGCCGGGAACATTTCCTAAGTAATGTACTCTGTCACATCTTCCACCGTCACGCC